CATGGCAACAGGGCAATCATTAGATTTATTCATCATTTCTGACATCATACAGCAAATTTAACAAACAGAAGCTTATCTGCCATAGTTCAATTCGATTTTTGCAGACACCTTCGGTACATCTTATTGAAATATGACCTTCGGATGTTCGCCGGTATACACAAACAAACACATGGAATTATCATGACATTAACTACAAAACATGTTGAAATTTACTGAAAACTAAAAGGGGATATACCTGTGTGGCAAGTCTTGGAATGTGCCTAGACAAATTCGCTGCAAATCGTGCTGTTAACATGGTTCAAGGCAGAAGTCCTTCTGCAGTGTCGCACAATATGGCGGCAGAGAACGTGCGAAGCGTAACCCGTATGTAAGAAGGTCGCCCTAATTGGAGTAAGTAACGATGTAATAGGCCTACTGCATGTGACACAGAAATATTTCCCAGCAACAATAGGCTTAATATTATATTTAAAATGAATACCTCTTATAATAAAAAGAGGGTGAGATTTAATGTATAATTGGAAAATTTTTAAAAGATGGGTTTCTCGCAAAAATAAAACAAATAATTAAAAATATTAACAAAATGCATGTTTTCGGTGTCTTAAGTATTGAATAGGATATACCATTATTTATGGCATATGAACGTCCTATTATACGTTCTATTATAGTAATTCAAAAGTAATCACCAAATTGTTAAAGAATTTTTGAAAATTAGGTCAGTATGAAGGTCAAGGTCAAGGGGTAAAAAATCAAAGCATTCTCATTACAGGTGATGCACATGTCAAATATGAAAGTTATAAGGAAAGATGGCAGTTTTGAAAAGTTTTCTCAATCTTTAAGGTCAAGTTCAAAGGGTAAAAATTCATACTGTATTTAGAAAGATATGTTGTCACAGGTGATGTATAAATACATGTGAAATATGTAAGTCATATTTTTCTTATTCAAAAGTTTTGATCAAGATTACAGTTTTCGTGATAGACAAACAGACTGACAGCGTAATGAGATTTAATGTCCCTTGCTTTTACGAAAACGGGGATCGACAAAAAGATTTTTTTGTGTAATTCAAATGCCCTGTTTAACACTTACGGTGAAGGTTAAATTTTCTGAAATCAAGTTGAACTCCAAGGTCAAAATCAAGAGATCAAAAAGTAAAAGGCTACTATACAGGTATATCAGTGAATGTACAATGTAGTTGTGACATATGAAAGACCAACAGCCAACTGTACAGTTCAAAAGTTATGGCTAAGCTAGGTTAACGTTAAAAAAAGCCGCCAAATTGTAAGGTCAAGATCAAGGACCAAAATCAAGAATACCAAGGGAGATGATTTTTATCGAGGAATATTCATCTGAAATATACTTTTGAGCCCTAGCGCCAGGGTCCTATATATTAACGGTATTTATATGTCCCTGTTAGCGCCAACTATTTTTTTTTAAAAACTTATGGTCAGGGTAAAAAAAATTCAATAAGTCAAAAACTTTAAGTTCGAGGTTAAAAGACCAAAACTGTTGGTATCCAAAGGAATGTCTTGTTACAACTAACAGTTCAAGTACACACCTGTGAAAATTCAAACATGAAAGCCCTCGTACTATAAATTGTTCAAAAGTTATGATCAAGGTTAACTTTATAAGTATTTCTCTTGGTAAGTCAAACTCTTAAGTCAAGGTCAAAATGTTTACTTTTCATTTTTCACCCTTTGACCTTGAACCTTGAAGTTTGATCCACTTAAGCAAAAACTTTAACCTTGGTAGTATCTTTTGTACAGTTCGTGCCTAGGCTTTTTCATTTCACAGATCTATATATTCATTTCAGATCTTTCTTTGAGTCAACATATTTTTAGAGCTGAAAAGAATGTAGTTTTTCACGAATATTTGAATTAAAAATTTATTTTCGAATATTCAGTCACATGTTTAAGGGGGATGTACAAGCCATATTGGAAAATTCTAAACAGTGTAAAATAACCTCAAATACCAAGAATTTTATTAATACTCCACTAAACTAGCCCAAAGTTACTCAAAGTGCTAATGCATTAATTACATACTGTTAAATATTTGTAAAATTATTTAAAAAATTAAGTTTATTTTGTTTTAATTAGGAGGAAATTAATCATGTGATATAATTTTTACCTGCTACAGCATTTACGTATGATGATAAATCACCTCCTTGAAAATGATGTAAGTTTGATTCATTGATAATATGGCTACAACCATTTGTTTAAAGCTTTTTTCTTGTCATTATCCATAATTCTTGAAAATTTGATTTTTCATAATGGGTGTCTTCCTGAGGCACATGTGTTTATTATCATCCGCCATTCCTCTGTCACACATATTTATTGAATAACATTGATTTTATAATAAATGCGACCATAATAACATCAATCAAGAAATTATTAATAATCAATAGGTTATATTACTTATACTTTTATTTGTTGCATCAGGGAAATCAATCTGTTTAATGAAAAAATTATGATTTTAACCCAAGATCAGCAAATCTTGATGGAAAAACTGTTCTGTTTACAGTTCGAGTTTCCTCGATAAAATTATTTTTTGAGCACGTGGTTGGCATGTGCATATATCTGCTGTGGATATATCACGTTTATTACCATGATTATATTTAATTTTTCATGGAACAAGTCTTGATAATTTGTTGGTTTCTTCTAAATGCAGAAAAAAAGATATAAATGTCCTTAACATATGTGTTTACGGCGGGTCTTTTTTCTGTGGCGATAGAAGTTATTTTCAAATGGGGCACTGCAAGGAGGATGCTTAGCATTTAATTTGAAAATGTTAAACAATATGCGGTGCATGAAAAACAAATTGTAATTACATGTCTTACATTCGAAAATTGGTACATATGTATATTTTGTTTAGAAGTTTCATGGCAAAAAATAGGCAGTTATAGGATTTCCTTCAGGCAAATTTCACATAAATAGCTAGATTGTTTGCAATGACCAACACATTGTATGGAGTAATGTTTGAACACAAAAAACATCATGTCTCATTATGTTGACAATGTAAGCTCAAAACTCATTGAACATACGAAGCTTGATAAAATATATTAAGTTGTTTCTTTGAAATTTAGAAGCAAGTACAATGTTTGCAAAGAAAGGTCCATTGCATATGCTATGTCTATCATCGCAAAAAAAGTGAGAGCCCCCCCCGTATGGAAATCCTATGTTTGTTTTTCAAAATAGTGCAAAAGATTAAAAAATTTTGCATTACTAAGTACGTGATGGAATATGTATAGCCTTATAAGACCACTTGTTATAAAATATTTGGTTGCCCTCTCTGTATAATTGGAAAATTTTTCCAAATGGCCCAAAAATAAAACAAATAATTAAAAATATTACATCCCATTAAATGATATTTTTTTCTTTTTCTTCCGATCAACAATTATGTTTGAATTTTAAGGAATTTCTTTCTACCTATAGTAATTAGTAATCACCAAATTGTTAAAGATTTTTTGAAAATTAGAGGACCACCAAACGTCATTTTAAAGATGGTATAAAATATCTAATTATGGTGATTTTTTTCAAATATGTAAAATTTTAATTTTGACAATATGGGCAAATAAAATTTTCGTCACAAGTACCTGCATGACGTAAATTTTCATACTGTGACATCACAAACAAGGAACAAAACTTCAGCATATGCTATTTATAGAACTTGTGTTTGGCTATGTTTTGATCTGAATTGTGGTTTTGTAGATATACAAATAGACTGACACTTTTTGATCACCCCTCGTACTAGTAGGTATTAAAACAAGGTCATTCATAAAGATTATATGTGTCTTATTTCTTTTGTGTTTCATAGGTGAAATTAAAATTTTGATAGATGATATACTAGTCAAGTTATCTATGGCAAACTTACAAACTCTTAATTTTTAACTTTGATGTACAATGTATTTTTCCTTACCTGGAATGAACAGACTTTAAGTTTTTTTTTATATCAATACGTACACTATTTAACAACTGCCAAATTGATAATAATACTAAATAAATTACTTAAAGCAACACTAAACATGATTTCCTCTTTTAAAAGTGTTCATATGAAAATATTTTGCAACTGTAATTCTCTTCTATATATTAAAGATAGTATATGTCCCTCCATATTTTTTTTTAAAAACTTATGGTCTGGAAAAAAAATTCTGTGCTAAAAATAAGACCAGTGCTGCTATCCATGAATTACTTTCAAGGAATGTCTTGTTACAACTCTTTTTGAAGACACACGGTGCCTTTTTGAACTTGAAATTATCATTTAAAAGTGTAAAAGTTATGATCATTTTCTCAACAAATGGTTGTAGAGAGAACATTAATGCACAGTTTGCAATATTTTTTTTCATTTTTTAAGGCCCTTTGAATTCTGTACCTTGAAGTTCTAAAGAGCATATCAAAAGCATTTTTCTGCAAAAGTATAGATTATATATACACAACATGCATTCAGTTATGCATATTTATATATCTTTAACATAAGGACTTAAAATTTGATCAAAATATAACGTATTTTAGCCATTTGAAGAAATGTTTACATTTTGAATTAAAAATTTACGAATATTCAGTACATCCCCCTTAATACCCGTATCAGTGTCATGCAATAAACTGTACAACATCCAGTCTTTGTTTGCAATGGAAAAAGGAATATTTCTCTCTAAACGAAAGCAAAGGCATTTTTCATCTCTTCTTGACCTTGGCTTTTGGATTGCATTTAAGCACAGACATAAATGTTATTTATGTAACTGATTAAAATTGAGGAACTTTAACCTTCACAATAATGAATATAGGGGTCCTACTACTTCAAATTTAGAGTGAATAAAGAATCATATTTTGTTTTGAAGGGGAGGGGGTTGATAATAAAACTGACTGAATTTAGTCTTAACAGATGTTCAACTTTTTTCAAACCCCCTATGCAGTTGTTATGAACAGTCCGAGGAATCATCATGTTCCCAACGTGTTACTGTATTTTAGTCACACCAAAGTATTTCGGATTTAAACCGTTTGGTCATTTTATAATTTACTAAGCGAATTTGTTTTCCGGTAAAATATTGTATTGATTCTTTCTTAGACTTTTTGATCGATGAATCGCTAGATATGTCTCCGAATGGATAATGCTATCAATTATACATACATAACAGACAGGAAGATGCAAGGTAATGCAATGTACAGTACGTAACGTTAGAGAACTTAAACTGCCTTGTTAGGGACTAGGGAGAACTTTAGTCTCTGTGATCCGAGATTCCTCTGACTCTAACCCCCGCTTTTATATTTTGACTTGTCCGCACAAGTCAAAATATAAAAGCGGGGGTTAGAGTCAGAGGAATCTCGGATTATAGTCTCTGTAGAGAAGTGTAAATTGCGATCAGATGCAATGGTTATTGTGTTCCACTGTAAAAATGATATTTTGTCATGTTGGAGAGAACATGCATTTATATCATCAAAGTAGGTGGGGAGGGGGGTTACTCTTTTTGCACAGTTCCCCACTATGGGGGACATTTACACAAGTCAGTCCCCAATGAGCACTCACAGTAACTTATGGAAGATTACAGACGATTTAATTCATAAATGAGAGGACATGATAATTGTAGGTGTCTTTTTCTGTTAAGACCTGAAATTTAATTTATTTTTTTCAGGAGGGGATATTCGCTATAACATGATGACCACCAGTAACTTATTTCGAGAAGCACAGGATGAAGAGATGGAGCATAAAGTTAAGAAAGGTTAACTTGCAGTGGTTATTTTCCTTTAAAAAATCAGGTAATAAAAAAACTGACATGAAAATTATTTATTTCTGTTTAATCATTTCTTTCAGTTGCTGAAAAGATATCAGAGAGTATGAACATAGTTGCCAATGAACCATCCTTAGCTTTTTTCCGCATTCAGGAACATGTAAGAAAATCACTCCCACAGCTCGTTGAACAAAAGGTAAACGATTTTGTTTATTTCTGACTGAAATTTAATTTAAACATTTGTAAATAGAGGAACGCTAGAATGTTGGTGGCATCATTTAAAATGCTAATATGTTTTACGGTGCGACCGTTGGGGCGAGCGCAGTTATTTACTATCAAAAACCTTTACACAGCTTTTACTTGCACTGCCTACCCTTAGTTCCTGAAAAAAAGAAAAGAATAAAAAGAAATCACTTCTCAGGCGTCGGGATCGAGATTCTGAACTTTTCGGAAGTTTCCGACAAAATTGGAAATACCCGAGCCGTTAAGTGACGAAAGTATGACGTCATATAAAGAGTCCTGTTGACTTAGAATGCAAACGATAGTTTTGTGGCATGGATATTTCATTAAATCGTTGTTTCTAATTTTTTTCAAGTAGGTTGTTGCTATGTTTTAGCCACCATGTTGCTTTGCACCGGAAAGGATGATTGGGAGTTTGGAATTTTTTCACGCGGTGAGATAAAAATTTCTTGGAACAATGTGCAGATTTCAACCCGAATTTCCTCCCTTCGTACACGTTAGTCTATTGAGCTCGCTGCACTCGCTATAATTCTTTAAAAAGAATTCAACTAACTCTAAACATTTTTAGCATAAAAGATATACAGATACATGCGTATAAATTTAAAACTTATTTTGGTTTTTGTCAAACTTGATTGTACAGCATGAAGTTCTGGAAACACAACAAGAGGTTCAGGGTGCAAGTTTCGACACAGAATATGCCACACAGTAAGAATATAGAACATTTTATGTGAATATAAATTTTTTATACATTTTTTGTTGAGCTGTTTCTATTACAGCCAAGAATTATTGATCTAAAAACTTGTTTTCCCACACAAATTGTCTTGATAAATAAAATAGACATGGTATGTAATATATATATATATAGATTTAAATTGTCCCCGACAAATTTTATCCAGATGGTGAAGTTTGTTAATTGTTGGCGTCCAGATGAAAGAGGATCCACTGTACACAACAGTTGTACAGTTGACTTACACAACTGACTACCAATTACGTGTCAGTACTTTGTATTTTATTTTTTGTAATGCTTTTTCTTACTTTTGTATTATAGTGCTGTAAAAAGCCTTCACAAGAGCAGTGTCCACTTCCAGAACATCCAGGATTTGTTAAAGAATGCTATCTTCATGAAGCAACAAATAGATTATGAAGAAGATAGAAAGTAAGTTAAAATTCTCTTTGGTGCAAAGTGCCTAAGAACTAAAGATTTATAAAAAATATGTTTGTTAATATATGTAGGTATATCTTTTTCAAGTTGTAGCAAGTAAAACATTAAGCCTTTGGGATTCTTAAAACCTAGATTCTTGAGTTTTTCTTAGCTCACCTGAGCCGAAGGCCTCTTGTTTAATTTTATGTTGAAATAACTATACCTCCATGAACATATGAATGCTAAAAAAAAAATACATTATGCCATAGTTAAAAATATAAACTTGTTTGTCTGAATTGTTAAAAAAAGAGAACAGTAGAACTTGTACATATATTTGTCAATGACTGACTGTAGCAGTTTTATAACATTGTGATTATCATAGACAACAGAAAAAGGCCCAGTCTAGCATGTATAAAGCCTCCCGAGATGATATCGAAGTATCAGTGTCTAGAAACTCCAGAGAAATGTCTGCCTCTAAATCAGACAACCAGTTGTAAGACACAGCATGGTTGTTGTGCATGTTCCCCTTCCCACGTGTGTACAGATTTGTTAGTTGTCAATTTCACCTGGTAACTCTTCCTATTTAGTTGGCTTAGATTAATTGTAAAAGAACATGCATTTTCATTTGATTTTAAGTTTCTCATTAGGACACAAGTAAACATGGTACAATTTACTGAGAACTAATTCTGCATAAATATTCATGTTTTTAAGAAACACCTTGGAGAACTAATTTAAAATACAATGAACATTTTTTTTCATTTGACCATATTAAACTATCTCATAAGGACACACGTAAACATTGTACATGTACTATTTACCAAGAACTAACTCGGCAGATTAAACACTTATATTAAAAAGAAAACCCTTTGTCTGTTTAGAATCATTTATTTTTTGTAAAGATATTCATTCTGGTACAAATTAATCATACTAAAGATGTTTCCACACTCTTTGGAGATAACCCCCCTCCCCAAAAGCCCCCCCCCTCTTTCTTATTCAGGCATGTGTACCTATTACTGTCCCAAACAGTATGTGGACCTAAGTAATATGGAGCAGATTTTTTGTTGTGATGGTAATGCTACATTGTTCAACATTTTAACAATTTTTTTTTCCATGGAGTGTTTTCTTCTCACCACTTATTTTTGCTTCTATGACCCAAACCACAAATATTGTTTCAGTTCAATTTAAAATCTCTGTGAAGAATTATAGAAATCATTCTTTTTAAATTTTTCATTGATAATTTTAAAGTTTTATTTTCAAACACAAGAGTGAGACTGTGACATTGTGTAATTGCAAGAAATTTAAATAATGACTCTTACCTTGCTTAGTTTGCAGGTTTAATACTTTTTCTTTTGAACACTCTAGGTATGTTGATACTTGTCAAACTGTTCGGTATTGTAAATTAATTTTGTAAAACAAGAGCACAGGTAAACATTAAACATTTACTGTTTCAGCATAGTTATCAAAGTTATAACATTTCATAGGTTTCCAATAGTTATCTGAAAAAGGCGAAGATAACAAAAGTGTTAAATCTAAATAAATTTACAAGCAATATTAATTCATCAACAGAGCATACAGAACACAGACCCTCAGAAATTTCATAGATAGGATCAAGTGTCTAGGTGAAGAAAACATCTCCTGTTGGCCGTCCAAGCTCCCATGAGCCCTTTGTATCAATCAGTTAGTCAAAAAAATCCATAGTCAAATTAAGTATAAATTTATATAGTAAATTTTGTATGGTACTGACTGAAACATGACCCGATCTGATTTAAAGTAAAAAATTGCTTTGAGAGATGAATAAGATTAGCTGCACTACTGTATATAGGAGAGTTGTAGAATAAGTTTGGCCTATTGTGAGATTTGAATTTAACTTCAGTTAAAAGCGAACCATTTTGTTCGAATTTGAAACTTTTATTGCTTTTTATTACCTTATAACATGCAGAAAAGGTTATTGTTCAAAATTGTATTTCATTAATCAATCACAAATATCAGACTGCTCCTCTACAGTAATTCATGTTAAAAATCTCTTAAGAAAGTTTGCCTTTACTTTTACTATTGATGAGGTTTTACTTCCATGATTATGGAAAAAAATCCAACTTTTTAATATGCTTCATATAAAACATGTATGTTATATATATGATATCGTTTTTATCAGTCTGCGGTATTCCCTGTAATATATGTAAATATTTACATGTATTTAAACACAAATAAAAAGAAACAATAAATAAGCAAATTTGTCTTATATCTCTCATCAAAGATGGAGAAATCATGCACATTTCTGGCAAGAATATTATTGTTGTGATGTATGTGAACTTTGTTGTGTATATCTTGGTGTATATAAACAATGTTGTTTAAAATTTATACCATAGCTTTGTTCAATGTAGCAAAATGCATGTATATTTCTTGAAATTTTCCATATTAATATATTTTTCATTCACACCTATAGTATCTTTTTTTTTTCTTCATATAAAACTCCGTAAGAATTATCAGGATTAACCTCTTAATTTACTTAAGAAAAAAAAAATAAAACTGCATTTTACACCAATTTTGTGCAATTTAGGATTGTAATTTAAAGTTTTTAATTTAATCATATATAAAGAAAGACCTTGTTGTCAAATTTCCCTTTGAGGATTTTTTTTTTTTTCTTTTTTACATAGATGATTTATTTTGACTGCCACCTACCCATTTGAAAAAAAATTATTATGATATCACACTCTACATTCAAATATTAAAACAAAGATAGTTTTAGATGTTATAGAAACTTGTTATTAAAAAAAACATCTGTATATTTATATTTGTATTGTAAAATACATGTCACTGTGCAATAAATATTTTAAATGAAAAAAGAGCAGTGTTAACACATTTTACTAAAAAAAAAAAATCCAGATTTATCATAACCTTAATAAAGCTTTGTCACCATGATATGTTTTAAAAAGATTGCTTGTAAATTCTTATTTGATTAAAAAGGAAATCATTTTTATGACCCATGATTTTTTTTTAAATTTGTTTTTAGTTTTATTTTTTTTACTATCTGTGTGTACTTCACACAGCTTCTCTGAACTTAAAAAATAATTTTTTCACTTTAGGTTTACCATTTAGCATATTAAAATTAATATCGAAATTTCATTTGAAAATAAAAGTTTTATGTACCAAAGGTTATTTTTTTAATGCATATTATATTATGATCCTTTCAAATACTAAAGGTATATTTAATTCATATATAATCTAAAAGTTATCACAGTTTCTGTATACTATGTTCAGTAAACATCAAAGGATCAAATGTTAATTAGAAAGTCACCACGAGTCCCAAACAAGGTGTTCAGGGTATACACAGAGACCAGTAAGTAAGTGTATACCTCCAATGATTTTTTCACTTGATTGAAAGGGCTAGTAAAGGTATTTTTGAAATCTCTTAAAATCTCTGCCTTTAAGAAAAAAAAATAAAACTGCATTTTACACCAATTTTGTGCAATTTAGGATTGTAATTTAAAGTTTTTAATTTAATCATATTAAAGAAAGACCTTGTTGTCTAATTTCCCTTTTCTTTTTTTTTTTTCTTTTTTACAGAGATGACCACAGTTTAAAAGCATAAGCTATAAATCCTGTGGATGAAGTACAAGATTTTAAAAACATTATAATCTTTCCTTTATAGAAACTTGTTATTTGTATTACATCTGTATATTTATATTTGTATTGTAAAATACATGTCACTGTGCAATAAATATTTTAAATAGATCAAGTGTAGTCCTAAATTTAATATCTGGGTACATTCTGAAATACCTTTTTTATGCATTTTGAACAGCTTTTGACAGACTTTGACCGCATGACCTCTCATTTTTATTATTATTATTTTTTTTTAAATTTGTTTTTAGTTTTATTTTTTTGTCAGCTATCTGTATGCATTAATACGAAAGCCCACTGAGCTCATTTTGGTAGGTTAAAAAAAATAATTTTTTCGCATTATAACGCGAAACTTTCGCGATATAACGCGTAATTTTCGCAAATAAACGTCCAGTAACTTTGCGTTTAAAGCGAAAATTATTTATTTATTAGAACTTTTCTTATTTCCGAAAAATTTATTTTTTTTAAACTACCAAAATGAGCTCAATGGGCTTTCGTACATTAATAAGATATCAGAAAGTGGCATGGAATCCTCAACTAAGAGAGGGGTTCAGTTGGCATTATTATACCTCTACTGATTTTTTCCTTTATAAAAGGGCAGTAAATGTGATTAATTTACTAGAAATCTCTGTGAATAGACTAATCCCCGTGCGTTAGTTGAATGAGCTGGATTAGCTTCTGCTTCTGAAGCTAATTCTCCGGTTATCCGCTATCCTCTACTTTTGCATCGTTCTAATATGTTAATGGACTTATCCCCATGCGTTAGTGCAGAAGCTAATTGCCCATCATTCGTAATCCTTTGTTTATTTTACTTTTGTATGGACATAATAAAACAGTTTAAAAGTATATCATTGAGGGAGTTAGCAAGATTTTAAAAAGGCATTATAACGCCTTTTGGAATGGAAAGGCGTAATAACGTCTTTTTTCGCGTTATTACGTCTTTTCAAAAGGCATTATAACGCCTTTTTAAAATTTTTTTCCCTCTAGATTGATCCTAATAGGCTTTCGTACTAATGTATGAATGAAGAAAAAAAATGGTTAGAAGTTGGAACCATCCACTTCACAAACACACATATACCCCAATTTTTTTTTTTTTTTTTTTTTTTTTTTTTTTTTTTTTTTTTTTTTTTTTTTTTTTTTTTTTTTTGCATGTGAAGATTTTCAAGCAAGCCGAACTTTTTTCTCTGGTCTCTCTATCCCCCCCCCCCCCCCCACACACACACACATTTTAAGAAAGAATACTTCGTCCCTGAAAGGCTTGGCCCATCACTGAGACCTTAGGTTAGAGGCCATTTGAAGATGACTTCATTATGACGTCACAATAGTGGTTTGCTTGCGAAAGCCGTTGAAACAGACATAAAGAAACAGTAAGTAGATTTAATTCATATTGCAAATATTTTAAGAATGTTAGTACATTTGACAAATATTATTTGACGTATGTTATGTGATATAGAAGGAAACGGACATTTATCTTGTGAATTATAACTAAATAGTTTAGAATTATTCCAATTTGCAATTTGATAACTGTAAAGCCGACGAACATTGACCCAAAGCTCACCAAAGATAAAAATCCACTATTTATAAGCCTAAAACCAACAGACCAGACGTGAAATTATAAGTAAGTAATTAAAGTTTTTAGTCAAGTAAAAGTAACATTAATTATTATCATACTTTATTGATTAAAGTGTTTTGTTTTTCCTTACGAGAACAGAGTAATTTCTAAAATATTCAGATACATTGTTACGTCAAGCTCGATGTCTTTAGCGATGACCTATGACGTCATAATAGAGTTTTGTTTACACGAAAGTAGTGAAGATCAGAGTAAGCCTCTGCTGTGAATTTTCAATCGTGTACAAGAATTCCTTTGTTCTCCAGGAACCGAAGCAATGTTCGGCGATAAAAGAGAAGAACGGATAGAGAGAATTTTGACTGTGTTGGCTTGTCGATCAGCAGGTGTATCTGAAGACATGCTACCTATACCTCAAGTAAGACCAATGTTGAAAAATTTAAAAATATCTCCCCCCCCCTTTTTTCTAAAAAAAAAAAATTAAATCACCGAAAAATGAAATAAATGCCCAAAAATAATGAGTATAATCAAGGTTACTTTTTTTGAAGTTTTCTTTTAATCCACCGGAAAATCGTAGAATAACTTGATATTTTTTTTCACTACATGTAAAGCATTTTACATTGAAAATACATCATTAATGTTATTTATAACACTTTCAAAAAAGTTATCGATGTATTCTTTTTACAGAACTACGAGGAGATCCTGGATTTCGGTGAAGAGGCAGTCAAAGACCTAGTAAGTAGTTTACTTTTGAAATTAAAGTACAATAATTCGTATTAGTTAAAAAAAATACCAGGACGTGATATTGTGACTTTGGCAATGAAAACCACTTTAAACTGATCCCTGCATTATAATTCCGTACGTGTTTTTTTTTCAATCAATAACAAATACATTCAAAATAGCAGGCCTATAGAACGCGGGGGGGGGGGGGGTGTCTTCCCACTCAGTTACTTTTGCTGACGTTTTAGAATGTACATTTATGTTTTGATGCTTTTCCCTTTTAAGGTACTGTAAGATGGAACATTGACGAATTCATGCATAACTGACAAGTTTAGACTTACATTTTTTATGGTCTTTTATTTTTTTTTTTTTTTTGGGGGGGGGTTCCACTTCACTTTCCCTTTTAAAAGTTAAACCCCTTTCTGCTATTGCCACGGGCCTTTACTCCCTTAGATTTGTAAACATAACATATGCTGTTTGTTGTTATTTTTTAGAAATCCAAACAAGAAATATTGAAGTTTGATCGTAACTGGTGTGACTTAGTAGAAGAGGAGGAATTGCGACAGGTAAAATATGATTTGTTTTCTATATTATTTCTATATTTTGTTTTTAAATTATTATTGTAATATTTTACAGTTTTCAATACGTTTTCCTTTTTTTCCAATCTAGAAAAATGCGTTAACAATAATTTTCGAGAAAGAAAAAATTAGACCACAGACACAGATCTTGCAAAAAATGCTACAGGAATTGAAGGTACAGCTATTAGAAGTTATGATGCTATAACTTCAAAACTTTAGATTGAATTTTGATTATGTACAGAATTATTAGACTAGTGGTTTTTTTTTTTTTTTTAAAAACATGTTTAGTAGTTAATTTTTTATAAGTAAGACTTATTTGTTATAACTTATTTTTTTTTATTTGTTTTGAGATTTTTTGGTTAGTTCTAACTAAATGCTTTGAGAACGATTAAATTTTTTCATGTTTTTTTCTGAATTTTAATCTGCATTCTCTCTGTGTTTTTAATGTGTTTTGACTTATTTCTTATTTGTTTTAACTTAGTTCTTATGACTAAACTTTGAATTCTTGTTATTTAAAATTTGTTATGACAAGTTTACTTCACAAAAAGTGGCGTGAAAGATGGAGACAACGTATAGTTTCAGAAAAAAGTCCTTGAATTTATATATATTACTAACGAAAAGATAAAATAGTAGTCATGTTCTTGTCTTCAATCATTATGCAAACTGGAAGTTACATATAAGAATTAAGTAATAGGAAATAAGTAGAAATCACAACTGTCGTTAAATTTTTGTCAATCAAAAACCACAGTTAAAATAGGACTAAACATTATTTTTTATTTAAAAAGTAAGCCAATCAACAGGTTTCAATAGGCTTCTTACATTTAGTTACCTCTAGCTACGAAACATTCACAACAAATAAGTCAAAACAAAAAAGTTATAACAAATAAGTCATAACAAGTAAGTCAATGTCCCTCCAGGGCTTCCGTACTGTTGTTTTAATGTGGTATGAAAACTAAGTAATTTGTATTTACCTCAAAAAAAAAAGAAGAAATCCATTACAATGTTCTAAGGATAAAGATATTTTATAGATACCTATAGTGTTCTTTTTGTTATTTAGAGAGAGGTGTCCAATAGAGTTCAGACAGCATTGAACAAAGAAAAACTAAAGGCAGGATGGACAGAAATACACCAAGAGATGATGGTATATTTTCTACAAGCAATATCTATTTACCTATATAATGGTTCATTCTTTAATATATGGAAGGCTGAATTTTTGGCTTTTGGAAAACATTTGAAATACATGAAATATGTATTGTTTTGCAAACACTGATCATATTTTTCAGGGAAAGATATCTGATAAAAGGAAAATGGATCAACAACTTGAACGAGAAAATACAAGACAGAGGTCAATTGGCTTAGAACTAAAGGTAAGTTATTGCCTAATTTTATATTTAGTCTATTTCATGTTTTGTAATTGTTAAAGAAATTAATGTAACAATGTTAAAATTAGAAAATAAGAGAGAGAGAGAGAGAGAAGGGGATACAGGAAATATGGGATTTGTTTACACAGAGTTGTTGATTTTTTTCGCACATATTTCTTGTAATATAAGTTTTTTTTTTTTTTGATTTTTAAAAAGAGTTGAATTTGATAAAATGAAATATTTTGGTACAGATAGTCTGGTCCTTGATGACTGTAAAAAGAGAAATCCAACAACTGAGAGTGGACTTAACAAGGAACATGTTGATGGGTCTGAAGGTATGTATTAAATCAAAGCTTTGTTTGAACTAAAGTCTGGATGTACTTTCCAACTATTAAATTTAATGAGATATACAAGAGAAAAAAAAACATTTACAGTAAAACTCGTTTAGTACAAACATACAGATATTGCGAATTCATTTTGTAGGTCTCAGTGACTTCATTATAACTGAGTTTTACTGTAAAAGGAGTATTAACTAAAATTTTTCAGAGATTTCTATTTTATTAATAAGATTGATATCATTTATCATTTTTTAAAAACTTAATTTGTGGTGTGGACTGCTTATTTTTAAATTTCCATATAACAATGTACAAATGATTAAAATATTTTTCTAGAAAGAGATGTCCATCAGACTTGAAAAAGCATTGACAAAAGAAGAACTAAAGGTGAAATGGACATCAATTCACCACGAGATGATGGTATATTTTCTTTTGTACAAGCATCATCTACTTAATTAATGGTTTATTCTTTGATGTCTTGAAGGCTGAATTCTTGGCTTTTAGAAAACACTGAAATACAGGAATGTACAATTTTGTTATGCAAATGCTGTCATATTTTTCAGGGAGTGGTATTAGATAGAAGGAATATTCAAAAGCAAATGGATCTAGTAAGACAGAAAAAGAGGTCTATGCACTTGGAACTACTGGTGAGTTATTGCCTAATTAATATTTAAATAATTTCTTGTTTTGTAATGTATTGAATAGATTATTGTTAAATGTAACTATGTTAAAATTAAAAAAGTTGTGTTTTTTTTTTAATATGAATTTGCTTAAACATAATGTGTTTTTTAGGGGGGGGGAGGTAGTTCTTTGGGGGTTACTTAGAAGTTGTGTTTTTTTTTTTAATATGAATTTGCTTAAACATAATAGTGTTTTTTGTTACAGACAGTGTTGCGCATGATGGATTTAAGAAAAGAAATCGAAAAACTTAGAGAAGCAATCAGGAAGGTATGTATTTAATCACAGCTTTAAATGTAGAAATTCATGTTAATTGAACTAAAGTCTGGATGAACTTTCTGAATGTCAAATGTAATGAGATCACAAGAGGAAAAATAGGAGAGAAATTTTTTCAGTGATTTTTTTTCTCATTATTATGATGATCAACTTTTTAAAATACTGGTAATTTCTTTGAGGTATGATCTGCTTAAAATAGGTTTATGCTCACAGCTGTTTTAATGCAAGTGTTTTAATATCTGCATGCACATGTTCAATCAGTAATTTTTGTTTTTTTAGGAAGCTGAAGATGCTATAGTGGAAAAAAATAATGAAAAGAAATTAGACGTGATAAAATCTATTGAGAAAAATGTAAGTAATATTTTTAAAAAGTTTTATTCCAATTTTACACATCTCACTGCATTTACAAATAATATTCATGTCATTTTGTGAAGAATTTTGATAACTTTTATTGTGTATTATGTTAAGTTAAGGCTGATTTTATGTGTTACAGGACATCTGCAATCAGGACTATCTGGATGTACCAGAATCTGAGGAAACAGAGACTTTCATCCCAAGGAAATTGTTCCTTTTCAATGTAGAAACATTCAAAATGGATTCAAAGGTTAGAAATCTGGCTTTTTTCTTTAAAAATTCTTTTGATTATTTATATCAACTTTCAGTCTCAGGAAATCATATCATATATCATTGCAAATTTTTTTTTGATTAATTCAAAGAAATCAAAAGTTAAAACTCACACAAAATAGAAAACCCACACTTTTTTCTTGGTGATGAAAAAATAAATGGGGTTTAATCTATAAATTGTGAGTTCTCTATAAATGCATTTGAAATAAAAATTGTTTTCACAAAATATACACATGTATTTTGTTTTCATTTCAGCATGATGATGAAGGTACACAGGAATGTAGCAGTAGTAATTCTAAGAGTGAAATGATTGAGTGCACTCCCACTGCAAATGAGGTACTTGAAATAGAAAATAATTACACCTGTATTTTGAATATTACAATTCATTCCCTTTATTACTAATATTAATCATAGATAAGAGGTGTGTCTTCTTGACCCTGTAACAAGGTCATTCTGGTCAAAGTCAAGATGATCCTAACCCTAGCCCAGGAAAGGGTGATCAAGTTCGTTTATTATAGAAATAAACTTAAAAGTAGAAAACAGATCACCAACACTTCGTGAGAATGCAGCAGTAAATTTATTTTGTTGACCGGTTTCGACCTGTGATGGTCTTCATCAGAACAATTTATAGAAATGTAAAAATTTTTGTCTTAGCCATAACACTGAACTGGAGATATACTGAATTCAAGGTCTCTAACATGGAATGTAAAATTATTGTCTTTTAACATTTTCTTCAAGAAGTAACTTTAGAGGATCATACTTGATCTGAGTTTATTGTGTCTATGATCATTGGATGCTATTGCCTAAACATCATAAGGACAAGGCCACAGTGACATTTATGTGAAATGTGTAGGTTTCAGGTATTCTTGGATGAGCAATTGGGAGTTCATTTTTTGTTGTGACCTAGAGTTTTGACATGATGACAAGGTCAAGTGCTTCAGAGTTCAGCATTTGGGAGGAGATTTTTTAAAATGCTTTGACTTTGAATGGTCATAACTTTAAATACTTAACACAAAGATCACTCAGAACCAGATATTTTAAAGTGTCAACAATTTCCATATTTAAAGTGACTTTAGTTTCAAGAAAGTTGAATAAAATTATTTTTTGAGAATTTTATTGATAACTTAGTTACCTTTATTTTCTTTTTCAGAGGTCCAATGAGCCAAAAAAGAAAACCCTGAAATCCAAGATCCAGAAATTCTTCCGATTGAAGTCATAAAGAGATATTGGGACATTAGCAAATGGATATCGTCTTTAACATCAATAAAATATTTAATGGAAAATGTGTCATACAAACTGTTTATCTCGCGTTTAAACCATCAATTAAATTAACGTATTAAATGAAATTTCTTGTTTTTCTTTTGATTTTTTTATGTCATAATTTCGGTTAGATGTAACATATATCTTCAAAAATATTTAAGAAAAAAATAAAGACTGCAAGAAAAGGCCCAAGGGCCTCAACAGTTGCCTGAGTATAACAACAATTAAGAGGAGCCACAGTATGAAAGTATGAAATTTATAAACTGACAGATGAAGCTTTGATGCTCAAAAGCAAAAGAAATAGGATGATCAGGACCAATGAAATATCTAGACAAGTATTAAAGTCATGTCAATTTAACTTCCTGTTCATTGGACATTTGATGAAAAATGTACTAGTGGGGAAGAGATTCAGTAATAATATTCATACTTTTGTATGTATCAAATGAATGCAAAATAATTTTCAAATGCCTATTAAGACATCATCATTCCTTGAATTTATTTATATCTTCTGCATCGTAAAATTATTCAATGAATAATATGAATTCATAATAATTTTTAAATGACTATAACGCATTTTGTATTCTACATATTTAATATATATTTTTCAAAATTATAATTTTTTTTATATGAAATGCTGACCATAAATGCATGGATTTTTCATTTTAGAGAGAAAAACCAAAAGTATTTAATCAGTGATATCTTTAATTAAATAAAAGTATAATTTAAAACATTTCTTAAATAAACAGTTGCTAGCTTTGTGTCATCTTTCTGTTTTTAATTGTAAGATATCTTTATAAATCGATTAAAGAGAACAAAAATTGAATTAATGTGCGCATTCAATATGTGATTGCACACAAAAGAGAATTAAACTAAACAGATATCTTTGAATATACATGTATTGAACTATTCGGGCTTTGAACATGGGAAATAGTAAATTGGAATAGAAATAAATGTTAGAGTTCACAGTAAAATGGACTCAACAGGTGATGGAATAGACTGTTTAAAAATATTAAATAATATCAATAATTACAAGTTTTCACGTTTTCTCACGGCCATAACTAAATAGTCTAAATCACTGGTTAACTAATAAACCAAAGAAAACTATTGTCACTGTTGGAGAAATAATCATATAAAAGATGAAAAAGAGACGATCCAAAACTCGCGCCAGAGTTCGCCATTCCTGTTGCCGCTCCTCGCCGTCCATGACGTCATGGTCGGTTTCTGTCACGTGACTCCCGTCATATACAGACAGGGATTCTATATTTTCCACTTTAACGTCGTCTTTATTTTTATCCTGAAACAGAAAAGTACTTCAAGTCAAGAACTTTGAAACATACAAAAATTAATCATGAGACATACTAGATCCATCTTTGGATACCCGATGATATACTAAATAGACCGCTTAATTACAATAAAATATCCTCTTTCCTATTCCAAGAAAACAAATATTTTTAAAATCATATAATATTGAAATTAGAAGTGCATGCAAGCACATCCTGTTTCTTACTGATGCTGGCTTTTTGTCCACAATGCCAACTTTTGTTGTTGGACAGAGCACAAATCTGAGTTTTCCAAGAAACAACCTTCTGACCCATGAGGGTACCCGATTTGTCGATTCCTCTCGGAAATGTAAATATAATACCCAGACCGCAATTGTGCAAGAGAGACACACGATAACCATACACACCGAAAAGTAGACACCTGTAAAACATAACATTTAAAGTATGTTTTTTATCTTAAAGAAAGATCAATGATTAAAATACTAGAAGTACGAACAGGTTTTATAAATCCAATGATTTTTTTTTTTTTAATTTGACCCACCTATAATTGGAAAAGTTTCCGCGGATGCTGGTAACTTATCAGAAACAAGAAGCAGAAACACAGAAAGTGACAATAAAACAGTCACTTCAAGTGAAACTTTTTCTCCAGAGTCAGCTGGAAGTATGAACCCCAAGGCGGCAAGAGCAAGCACAAGTGTGCAAGGAAATATAATTGTCAACACGTAGAATTTCGGTTTCCGCTTCATTGTCAACGTAAACGTAATATCAGGGTAAGGTTCCGGACAACAGCCGTAGTAGGCCACGTTACGCTGGCTCAAGATGCTGACGACTGACCACTCATTGCTTTCGACAAACGAAGATAAATCTCCTGAAAATTGAAAATAACAATGCAAGGTTTTTGGATGTTATGAATGCATTTACATGTACTGGGTCTTTAAGCTTAAAATTTGGGTTAATAAATAAATCATGAATGTAGTGTTTCAAATGTTTTTTTAGTTTGGTTTTTATTTCATGGTTTTAACAAATTTATTACACCATTTTGCCAGTCTCGATATGCACCTACTTCGCCATAATTTTGAAACTTGAAAAAAATTAATTTTTAAAAACAGCAATTCGTCCTTCTTATTAAAAAATACACGGTATATTAAACTCTTAAAAGAGAAGAGTGTTGGACCTGTAGATCTTTTTGCAAGAAGGTCAAGTTCCTGGCCGTGGTGAGTCCAGGACCCCAGCTTGATGGTACATTTCTGTGTGTCATAAGGGAAGTAGGTGACGTCAACAGAACACGTGATCTCCACCACTGTAGGAAAGTTGAAATACGCAGATCCGTCAGAATAAACCGAAATTCTGTAAAAGGCCCGGCCTGGCATGTCCTCACCCTTAGTAACACTGATTAGAGAAAATCAGTATTAATGCAAAGAAATAAACGATAATCATATTCTATAAACAAATGCTATATAAAAAGTCTTAAAAAACTAAAGAACATATGAAGTTTAAGGGAGTACAACTGACGATTTTGAATCCACCGCACAATATATAAAAGTTCTATATGGATGTGTTTTAGAGTTTTAATTATTCTGAAATCAGGACCTGTCAGTTCCATACTTCATTAAAGTTTTATAAATATCCCTACCTCTCAAACAAAGTGATATCAGGAGTCCAGATTTTACTTGAGGGGACAGTTAAGGAACTAAAGCCTCCGTATGATGAAGGAGTCCAGGTAAGAGAACAGTCTTTCCAACTCTGAGGAAAAAATGATCACTTTACTTTAGTATGATCATACTACGCCTAAAAGAATGTTAAAGTTTTGTATATGACATACAGGGATAAAGAATGGCAACCATGCTTAAATTCACTGAAACAGTACAAATCGGGAACAGAACAAACATGGACCTAAAAAACATCAGACATGGGATTAGGTGTCAGGGAGGAGATATAAACTCTAAAATCCTTGTATTGGCCAATGATCTGAGCAAAAATTCTTGCTTATTAATAAAATTATCTAAACAAAATGCTTGCTTATAAATCAAATTATCGGAATAAAAAGTTAGTTTTGGCCTGCTTAAAAGGGATTTTAAATAAAGATTTTTCTCTACTCAAAATGTTCCCCTATTGTGACCTACCACTACCTATCACGGGACCATAATTTAATCAAAATACTAAATTTGCACTTTCAGAGAATGCTTGTACAAGAAGGTGCTGCTCATTAACCCAATGATGTTTCGTAATGCGCAGTTGAATTGTTTCATTAATTTTCGATATGAATTCGTAAATGGAAATTAAAGTTAAAGCAATATGAGCTGCATTTTTGAAAATTTTATTTTGCTGTTAAAATGTGTTGTTATGATATTTTTGTATGTAACTTAAACCTTTATGATCAATTAAACTAAAATAAAGCAGAAAAAAAACTTCTACATACAATCCAATATACAGTTTTATATAAGAAATCTTTATTGTACAGGACGACAATAATGCAATTTTGATTCAGTCGAAGCTCATAAATAGTTCTTGCATCGCAAACACTGTAAAAAAATAACTAGTTAAAGTCACGAAGAAAACTAGTAAATTTACTGTCCATACAATCACTACCTTAAAAGTAGTTTTACCAGATTATGGTATATTTACTAGATAAGATTAGTAAATTTAGAATTGATATAAGTAACTTTCACTAGGTATCTAAGTATCTATACGACCCCCGCTCCACAACTCACTATCTTAACCAGTAAAATGAAAGTTTACTAATCACGACCAACGCTTTACGAGGCACACTAGTTAAATTCACTAGGTTTTTCTTTCAGTGAATATGAACAAAAGAAGTTTATCAATATTATTATTTTGTGTCTTTTGAATAGTTATTTATAATTTTGCAACAAAAAATTCTTACATCAAAGTTGCAGCTCATATTGCTTTAACAGATGACAGACGGCCGGACAAGTTGATCAGTAAAAACTAAATGATCCTTTGGCTCTGGAGAGCGAAAAGAAACAAAATATATTCCTTTTTAAAATTTATTTTATCTTCTTCCCATCCAAAACAAAGTTAAGCTACGCAGCAAATGAATCCCTGCATACTAGGGCAAAATGTATCTAGTCTCTGTTCATGACATTAAAAAAAAAGTTTCCAGTAACGCTTTTACTATGATCAAATCTTAATAAATTGGTGGAGAATCCACATTAATGAGATCCAAACTCATATTATTTTCCATGTTGGCTATATTAATTAGATAGAAAGTCGCTCGTACATCTATATGAGGAAACTTGCTAGATTTAAAGTAAAATGTCTCCATGTTCTTTTATTGGCATAACGTTACATACAACAAGAAAAAGATACTTCACTGCTCACAAAATCGTAAGGCCCGAGTACAGGTCTTTGCAGCACTCCAACGACAAGTGGCGTCGTCTAAATACTAGTGTTTAGTGGAAAATGATCTCGAAGGAACGTTAAACAAACAAATAAACATAGGTTTTATTTCATTTTAGATATACGGATAGATGACTGAAAAAAATTCTTTGAATTAGGATGCATGTATGTAAAGAAAGATACGCTTTAAATTACATTTCCTATTTCACTTGCTGTTGAACATGTATATTTAAATTTACCTGACGTAGCCACATCTTTAACGTCAGTGTTTGTTCTCTTTCATTCTGCAAGATGCATTTAAAAAAAAAATATTAAAACATATCATAAAAGAGTGTATCAAATAGTGACTTTAAACTGTTGTGAATATTATGTCATAATAATTAGGTCAATAAATATGACACCATAGTTTGATAAATTTTCTTACGGATGAATAAGTTAATTTGATGCTTCGAGTTTCATTTAGATAATTACACGCAAAGTTTACATGACCTTCATTTTATACAATATATAATAATGACGAACCATTTGAAATTAACACCTGACAGTGATCATCAATGTTAATAATTAATTAGTCACACCAAAAATTTAACATAAATAGGCACAATACAGGTCATTTGTGCATGCACTGTTAAATAGACCTTGTCCTACTCATTGAGTAATGCTATATCAGGCTTAAAATTGACAATGCCTATCATTCCGTCAGTCAAAGCTAAGACAAATAGGCTATATGACACCAATTTCATTAAAGTCCAACACACTTTAATTGCAAAAATGCAGTAAAGATTTGAGACCATGAAAATTTTAAAGGTATATGTTAAATTTTCTTCGAGATAACTTCGTTCTCACACGTGCAATACCATTACCAATTAAGATATTGTGAAAATGAGGAAATTTAATGCTTATTCAATGTGCAACTAAATTTTTGTAAGATTAATTTATATTAAGAATACTTTCATATTTGGGTTATCACTGAAAAAACTTCAGAGAAAGTTGAGGAGTACAGTATCTGTTATCTCTGAATATTTCCATTTCTATTTTTTTTTTCTCTGTGATAACTCTTTGAAAGTTTAGGGAGTTTATTTCTTGATAATTCTGCAGGAATGTCAATTAGGCACGTCGATAGGTCAGCAGCTAAGGAGGCCTAATACGCATGCAAATCTCGTGCGCATCTGTCTCTGTGTCTGACGCTAAGGAGGCCAAATATGCATGTAAATCTCGTGCGGCTGCCTTTGTGTTTGACGTCAGTGTGCGAGGACTATTGAAATTGGCATGGAAGTCCTCGTGCAATTTCAATCTATAAGTCTACATTTTTAATGTCTAAGTCTACAATTTTATTTCACAATGAAATGAAAATATAAGGAATCACTGTCTAGTTATGACAGTATGCCAGGGACATCAACAATAGTGGGAAACATGGGATAATTTTAGCATAACGGGCTTCGCCCGTTATGCAAATTATCCCATGTTTCCCACCATTGTTGATGCCCTGGCATACTCTCAAAACTAGACAGTGATTCCTTAAATAATATTTAACACTATACTCTTATTTATTACATTGAATAAGTAAAATGAGTATATAGGTATTCATTATTTTCACTTTTTATACACTATTGTCAAATCACTGAAGTTATAAGTAACCACATCTAACAATAAATCACAGATATCTGAAAGTTAATATTTACCAGGGCAATAATTTCTCGGAGGGCAATATCAAGAGTGACTGTGACGTTGTCTGCATTATGACATCGGGGTAGGATTTCACTGGTGTAGTTGGAGAAGAGGTCTTTGTAAAGAATCTGGTCTGATGTAGCCAGTGTAGTCTCTATTACAAAATAAAGAAAACCAAGGAATGATAATCTATTCCAAAATTCAATCTCCTTTTAACTAATTTTTCAAAAGTGAAAAAAATATTAAAAATTTTCGAAATCTTCGGTAGAAATAGACTAGTTAGCTGAAATTTTGCTAAGGATTTTTCATGTTGATTTCTTTTCCATCGAGACTTTTTGTTCAACCAAAGTTTTTCATCAGAAGTACATGTACATAGGCCATTGGTTAAACATTCTTAATTCTATTTTTTCCATCATGATAAATGTATAAAAAAGTTTATCTCATAAGCCACAAAGATACTAGCATATAGATTCAAATGGAAATGAAATACATAAAGACTGGTCCTTTTTGATTGCTTTACATTATTAAAAAAAACACATGAAAATACTTTTATGATGCTAATTGCCTAAAGATACCAATGAACACTTTTTTTCGGGTTTTTATATAAAAGATAATATAATGATGTTTTAGTTTCTTACCTGTTAGAAACGAAATTAAAACCAAAGTATTCAGAAACTTATCCATCTGATTCCACTTTGGGTTTTCATATAACCTTCTGTCAAATCTACGAACTTATCAGACCATTGTCGAAAGAGAATCACGAAACATTTTTAAAATAATCGAAATAACTTCTCGGGATTTTTTCAGTCGCCATCCGAAACACTGGTTGGGACTAAGCTACTCAACTGAGTATCAGCTTTTTAAATTCAATCCGAGTGTGACTTTTAAATTGTCCAACCCTTCATGAATTGTGAATTAGGCTGTCATTGACTCCAATATACAGTATGCAGTGCATGTATGCTCGGCTGTAAAGTTTGAATTCAATGAATTGCATGAAGCATGTGTAATGAAGATAATATTAAGATTTTGCAAATTTTGAATTTACATTAACTCGGTAAATTTAAATTACATGATACAGTAAATTCTATTTAATATCAATATAGGTACAGAATATTCTAGTAATACGTGTGTTTTAATGAATTGTGTATTTTTTCGTCAGTGAAATTAAAAAAAATAATATCCGACGTAAATTATTTCAATAAAATAATACATTTTCAATTAAATATCTCCCAGTGCAGTGAAGTATTATATATGATTTTGACAAGAGAACAAAATCAAAACATTGTGTGTATATGCCAACAATTCAATAGATTTATCTATGGTTGGGTGATATTTTTGTGCTTTAACAGACAAGATATATCGCAAAGAGCCATCATTTTTTAAAGTTTATGTCATGGCTGTATAAGATGATTGAACCATGACATTAATTAACAAACATGTCGACACATTATCTTACAGATATTGAAGGCTTTTTAAGATATCTTAATGCGATGCTTTATTATCATTTCTTTGTAGATATATTTATTGATATTTTTATTCACTTCAGAGGAGTGAAAATATCTTCAAATACTTGTCTTCAACATTTGGTTTTGTTATATCAGAACAAACATATCTAACAATGCATATACAAAAACAAAGAACTATCGCAGGGCAATATCTCGCAAAAATAACTTAAAATATTTTTATTACACTTAAAATTTTTAACATGTTTAAAAATAACTTTCTAATAATAACAAAAAATAATAACTTTCTAGTAAATTTCTATTAACATAAAAATGTGCATTTGTATCAAATTGTTAACAAAGAAATTTTTCTTCAATATATGACTTATCATCAAGGGAGACATTTTGATTATGACATTTTAACTTATTAAAAATTTGACATACGAGGGTTGTCCCGTAAAATCGTGGACAAAGCGTTTTTCTCGAAAAGTAATAGCGCACTGAGCTGAAAATTTCAGTAAATGTTTATTTATCATATTTAAGTGCATGATAATTTTTTTGATATAATATAGGCAAAAATAAAGATTTTATTATGCTTGAATGTGCACGAGGTATTTCCTACGGCGCACGGTCAAAAAACCAAGGGTTTAATAAAGAATACACAAGTCTGAATTCAAAATAAAAGTTTTAAATACATAAGATTAGGATTAAATTACACTACTTCAATTCCACAATCAATTTTGTAGTCTTTTTAAAAATCTTAAGGCATTTGCTTAATTTTTGGCAGTTTCTCGAGCATTCGAAATGGGAAAGTGGTAAACACAACACACGAAAAATGGCGTTTTATGACGTTACGGCGCACCGGAGAACAGTTCAGTTTTATTTCTCTGTTGTAATGACACCTTTAGAGACTTGAAATGACCATAGAAGAAAAAAGATTATAAAAATATCACCGTATCTTAAGTATACAAATGAAATAGGAGTTTTATATAACACAGTTTTTTAACATGATCAAGTCCCCGGGGAGTACAAAACATACGGACAAACTCCTGATGTAATAGCAAAGGACGCTGTCACAGTAGACCGCCGATATGAGATTTTCTATTAGTTGAATGATGGTGGGAATATTGTCCGTAACTTACTAATAAATCTTCAGAAGATCGCACGAGGATGCCAACTGGTTCTTCGGCTGTTTATGGAGACTAAAGAATGTGTATCAATGAAATTCCTAAATTTAAGTCGGACTCATCCAACTTCATTTTAAGTAAAGATAAAACGTGACGCTGTTTTAGACACTTTGACGTTATAATTCATGCGCCGTAAGGTGATACAATACATGGCATAAAATCTCATAATTTGTTTATTTATGCATATATTTATTTGAAATTTGCCAAGTATATTACTAAAATATGTACCAAATAATAGTGAAAATTTCAGAACGCTGTTATGTTTATTTTTCACACTAGACAACTTGTCCACGATTTTACGGGACAACCCTCGTAAACATGCGCGTGATATGTACTTTGTCGTCATTTTATGAATTGAACAAGATAAATGATTTAAAAAATAATGAAATGTAAGGTCATGCTTATTGGTACCTTATTTTTCTATTAAAATGATCTCAAGAGAATAAAGTAGAACAAGTTAATAGCAGTGACATATCAGTTCCGCCTCATAGCATTGGACATCTCCATATGAGTGGAAAATTCATAAGAGAAACATATAACAACGAACGAAACATTGGACAGTTCATATCTTAAGCACAAAATATATCATGTCCTGAAACAGGTATATCAAAATTTGAACAAAGATAGGATATATCAGGTCTTGAACATATCTAAACATAGCAACTCTTTAGCAAAAACAAACATGAATTTCTACAAAAACAGAACATCTCACATCTCCATCAAATTAGAAGATATCCTGCCTATATCCTAAACAGAATATTCCAGACCTCTATCATTAACAGAACATATTAGATTTCCATCATCAATAGAACATATGTAATATCCATCATTAATAGAACATATCACATCTCAGGCATAAAAGGAAAATATCAGCGAGTTTCTCATAAATATAACATACCGGATCTTAAAACAGATTTGACCTATCATATCTTAAACATGGATGAAAGATATCAGCTTTTCGAAATATATCAAATGTAGAGAAATGTAGAGCATCTGGATAACATATCAGCTCTTGATCAGAGAAAGATCAATTCAGATCATAAATTGATAATACTGTATTTTTTAAATCGATAGAATATGCCACATCTCTATCATAAAAATTATATAACACACGTACGTTATAATGTTATCATAAACAGAATATACCAGATCTTCAATCTATTATAAAGGAATCTAAATTTTTAACATGAAAACATAGGACCTCATTGAAAATAGAATATAAGTTTGAAAATCTTCAACGCTTACATATTAATTATTGATAGAACATAATCAGGTCTTCATTATGATTTGTACATGCAAGATCTTTAACAGAACATAAGATTCTTCACACAACGTTATATATATCAAATCTTCAACACTGCATAGAATATTTCAGATATCATACATAAACAGAACATATTTCAACATCAATGCAACATATATGATTTTCGACATAATAGATGGAACAATTAAAATTCCTAAAACAAAATGTTCTTATTATTTTTACAATATTTTAATAATACTGAAGAAAATAATGATTACGATAAATAAATATATTTATCGTAATCACTATTTTCTTCAGTATTATTTTCCAAAACAATGCATACACTCGGGGTGAAACAAGGATGGTTACTGAACCGACTTAAAAGAAAACCCATGCTTCAATATCTCTATGTCGCATGCACTGATCTGTGCAGGTGATAACAACACGAGAATGGAGTTTTATGGCAGAGAATAACTAATTCTTCCCCCTTTCAGTTGGACACATTACCATCAGTAACTGTTTGTGGGCCTTGACATAACTTTGCATGAATGCAATAGCTTACACCAGAATAGTGTTTTAAAACTTTTAATGTAGCAAAATTCTAATCTTAAGGTTATGGGTAACATGGGAATATGCATTCAAAACGTCATGTGATCGTTACTACTGATTTACCAAAATACCAAAGAAAACTATTGTTACTATGAGAGAAATAACCAGGTAAAAGATAAAAAACAGACGATCCAAAACGCGCGCTAAATTTCGCCATTCCTCTAGTATCTGTTCTGAGTTGGTACTTTTATTAGTTTTTGTCTCTTGACAACTACTTTCTATTGAAAAAGAATGCACACTTTCTACCTCAACATCACATTTGTTTACACCCTGAAATAATAAAAATAAGAGATATGTCTTTAAAGAAATACATATAAAATGAACATTTATTTTAGAAAGCATGCATTTGTAACATTAAAAAGTTACAGACCTTGCTTATTACAGTTTCTGGCTTCTCCGAAGCGACTTTGGTCGTGTCACACAGCACAAATCGTAATTTTCTAAGAAAAATATTCTTGACTGATGAAGGCAATGGGCATGTCGATTCTCCACGGAAATGTAAATACAAGACACAGACGGCAAATGTACATGAGAGACAGACGATAACCATACACACAGAAAAGTATATCCCTGTAAAATAAAAGTTATCGTAATATCATTATTGACCCAATAACATTATGTAATTAGAAAAGTAACACTAAAATAGTAAAATTGAAATTTTAGGTATCAGTAAAGACCCTTCTTCGCACATGCACACACAAGCAATATCCCTCACCAATGATTGGAAAAGTTTCTGCGGATGCTGGTAACTTATCAGAAACAAGCAGAAGAAACACAGATAGTGACAGTAAAACAGTCACTTCAAGTGAAACTTTTTCTCCAGAGTCAGCTGGAATTATAAATCCAAGGGCGGCTAAAGCAACCACAAGAGTACATGGGAATATGATTGTCAGCACATAGAACCTGGGCTTTCTCTTCATGTGAAGGTAAAACGTCACATCCGGGAAAGGTTCTGGGCAGCATCCATAGTATACCACGTGACGTTCGCTCCGGAAGCTGACAACCTCCCACTCATTGCTCTTAACAAAAGAAGACAAATCTCCTACCAAAAAAAAATTTAAATACAGTATTGTCATGTTCTTAATTTTTCATCTATCAAATTCAAAATTTAGAACATGACACTAGCCATTTGAGCAGATTTGAAAAATTGTCATAATTGTACCATCATTACAACATGCAAATATTTATTTGCATATAATATATCACTGTAAATTTCTTTTTGTTTATGGTTGCAAAAGTATAACTGGATGAAAGAGTTTCACTTAAAGTTAAATATTGATCTTTAATTAAAAAGCGTCCTTTTTAATAATAATAATAATTAAAAAAATTAAAATCAATGACAATGACAAACCGGTAGATCTTCTGGCCACTAGATCAACCTCTTGCCCATTATAAGTCCAGGACCCTAGTGTTATGGTGCATTTTTGTGTGTCGTACGGGAAATATGTGACATCAACTGAACACGACATCTCCACAACTGTCGGAAAGTTGAAGTAGGCTGATCCGTCGGAATACACCGTGATCCGGTAAAATCCACGACCTGGCAAATTCTCACCCTCATGCGCACTGAGAAACAAATATAACTTAGGTGAAATGGAACATAAATTTTTAGAAAAAAATCTGTTTCCTTGCACCTATTAATCCGAATTATGCAGCCGAGTGTTATTCAGTGTACAACAATGCTCTCATTGTCCCATTATTAATTTACAAAATGAATTTAAAGCCTAGATAATTCTTACACTATAAAACATTAAAATGCACCTCTCAAAAAGAGTGATATCCGGTGTCCAAAGTTTGCTCATGGACACCGAAAAGGAAGCGAGTCCCCCGTACGTGGCAGACGTCCAGGCCAGATAGCAGTCTTTCCAGCTCTTGGTAAAATAAAAGTCTTAGAATGATTGACAAGAACTTAGCATACAGATATTTAATTGCATTGTCTCTCTTAAGTTGGGAAAGCTTTCTTTTACAAAAAAGATTGTCAACATTCCAGTAGTAAAATTTTACAGTACATGTATTGATGCTGAAACAAAATTCGAGTTGTGTTTAAACTGTTTCCCCAATATCTTCTTTATTCAACAATCTGAGTGATTTTGTGCCAAATCAATTGCAACTTTTTTTTTTCCTTTCAAAGTTACGATCAATGCAAAAAATTACACCTCTGAAACTTGTGACCTTGTCCTTAATAAACCCCTACTTTATAGCTACATAATCTGTACACATCCTCTACTTAGAAAGGGTCCTTTTATGAAAGATGAGCTTCCAATGTTATGGCCAGAAAAAGTTAATTTGAATACAATTTTATAAAAATTGACCAGTTGCTCTATGGAAGTAGGCAGTAGCTAGTAATATGAAGGAATAAGCAGACCTTCAAATGGTGGACCCACTCTTACCAATAAATAAATAAATCAAACATAAAAATAAATCAATTAACAAAGAGTCAAAGGAATAAAAAGAGAAAAAATGAATGTACTAGTAATCTACATTTTTCTTTTATCATTGATAAAATTATTTTATTGAATACAACATGTATACCTGACGTATCCACATCTTTAACTTCAACGTTTGTTCTCTTTCATTCTAAAAAAGTTTAAATACATAATTAAGTAAAAAGAACTTGCAAGAACTAATGATTTTCATAAATTGCAAGCATTTGTTAATTAGATTTAAAAAAAATAGCTGTAAACTGTCAATTTAATTGACATGTCGTTATTTTTTTGGTCGCTTTGAAGTGATATACGAATATTGTTACATTTAATCGGAATATCAAACAATGGTTATGTAAACTTCCTCTGCGATAGTAATTTCTTGTACAATTAAGAACCTTTGAGTATGTGTGGATATTTTGCTCTATTTAGAAATCAATGTAGAACCTTGAGAATAAACAGCTGCGATTGACATCGGTTAATATTTATTTTCTGTAGGGAGCTGTGGTGAAATAATACCCATGTTCCTTCGTGCATTCTTTTTTCAAGATTTCTCATACAGAATTATCTTAAGTGCTTTAATATCTATTTTAATTTCTTCGCTGCCTTTTGAATTGGTACTGGTATTCAATAAAGCAATAAAACAAAAACTAAGATTGATTTACATTTTTTTATCATTTATGTTTTAAGGTAGCAGACTATACCCCGGTATTTCAGTGACATCCTAACGACAATTTCACGAACTTTCGATCCCTGATTTCCATGTATAAAGTAAAATACTTTCGATGATATTGGTATAAAGTATTATTATAGCCCCAACAATCTGAGAAACTATAAACTCAATTTTTCAGTGATTATATATATATAATTTTTATTTATTCACCAATTAAGGGCCCTCTGGGGGCATATACAATTAAGAAACAAACAATATAATCATGATTATAACAATGCAAACTTCACTTGATCCTCACGTGTAAACGTTCTCAGATTTGAACTACTGATATACAGGGTAGTTCACAATGAAATATAAGCATTACATATAATTATAATAATACAATATGAAGAAAATAAAAATAATAATAAAATACCAAGCTCCTTTATACTGCAATGACCAGGTGGATAATAGCAAACAAGTACATGTAATCATATTATTATTAATCATATAATTAAAAAAAGTATATATATTTTGTTGGCCTGGTAGCATAAGATACCAAGGGACAATGCCTATTGAGCAGTCTGGAAAAAAAAAATGAAAAACCAGGTTGCTCGGTCTTGGACCTCAAGCAACCAAGACAGCATGTAGGATGAAAACTTAATTTGTTGGCCTGATCATAATATATTATTATCATATTTACCAGGGCAATAATGCAGGAGGGCAATATCTAAACTGACAACTCAATCTTTCAGTGATTATAACAATATAATATTAATGATATTTACCAGGGCAATAATTTCTCGAAGGGCAACATCTAGGCTGACGGTGATATTGGTGGTATGATTGCATCTGGGCAGAATTTCTGTGGTGTAGTTGGATAACAGGCTGCTGTAGAGATTCTGCTCTGTGGCAGAAGGTTTAGTCCCTGTTGGAGAAAAAATGCAGGATAACCACTATATAACCACTGTATGATCTGATGATGAAATAGATCATTTTTAGAAGAGGTCTATCTCTATGCAAAATCAACTACATCTGTAATATGATTTAGGTAATACCCTACTGTCTGTCAAAGAAAAGTAATTTGATTTGGCAGTAGTCAACATAGTATGGTTTCGCTATCAAATTAAAATTGTTGTAATACCATCTAAATTAAAAAAGCCTGTGATCAAAACTATGTATTACTTTAAAGACAAGTAAAATGGGAAAAAAAGTCAATATAAGAAATAAACAAAGAAGATGACATGATGCATACAATGACAACACAATTGTTTCTTCAGCTCATTGCAATAATACCAGACAAACAACAATGGATGCAATGTTATCTACTTCCTATACTTATCTAATGAGAAGAAAATTCAAATTTATATTTTAAAGAAATCTTACCTTTCAACGTTGAAATTAAAATTAAGAAAGAAATAACTTTTTCCATTTGAGTCAAAAATTCTAATTTCTCTACAACTTTCTTATAAATTCCGCTGCTGTTGAAAGCGAATACCGTGAATTTTAAATATGCAAGACATTTGCAGTTATTTGTTATTGACCAACCAAGCCCTTTTCTTGTATTTGTTGCCAATCAGCCATATTAAGGGTTAATTATCGGGTTCAGATCAATAACGTGTAAGCAATATAAATTCTGTTGGAAAATGGGTTGAAAATGTTGCCTTTGAGCCTGCAGTGTTGGGATAACATCAAGTTTATTTTTAAATTAGTTTCCTTCGGACCTTTATTTAATGAATTTAAAATACGTTTTACTAAGAAAATTGCTTATCCACATTGTATTTCATTGCTGGTTTTGTGTGTAAAGATGTTTTTTTTTATTTAGTCTATTTTACCTTTCTCTCTCAGCCCTATCAAGATCACATTTTTTTCTCGAGGATGGTCAAATATGTTTTTGTACACTATCAGATAAAGGAAAGATATTTGTTAATCCTGTCCTAAACCTACACATTATTTAAATGAAATATCAAGAACATGTTCTTAAAATAATTTTAACCATATACGATCTAAGCTTGAATATTGCGGTGATATGGTCCTCCATACCATCCCTTTCTTCCGCTCCCTCACCCCTGTCTGTATAGCTGATCATACTTTTATTGTTATTATTGAGAAAAAAGAAGATGTGTTTGTGAAACACTTTGCCCCAGATGGTAACAGAATTCTAGGGTGGAACGTGGTATACACTTACCCTTGACAACGCAATAGTTATGGGCTAGGTTAAAGTTGACAACAGACAGACAAGAACAAAAACTATCTACCACCCGGATTTTTCGATCCAGGAGCATAAAAATAAATAACAATAAATGTATAAAAACTGAAGTTATTTGTCTTTGAGACATAAAGTCTTTGTAAATAAAACATACTAAAGTAAGTGGCCTCCATATAAATACAAAAGGGTAAGGTTTCAGAGAAAATATCAAGGTATAAATGTAGTAACCTTACTTCTGATCTTTTCAAAGACCGCCCTAAAGAATCACCAATATGGACAAAATATGGATATCAAATAGAAGATTCTTGTATTGTCCATAATATGCAACACAAAGACATTTGCTGATCAAATACATGAATGAATAGAATAGAAAATATACAGTATATATTATATGCCATAAGGCCAGATAGAATTAATCTTTAGATTCTCATCCTAATTTGCTAAAATATTGGGGCGGGTGGGCGGATTTTATTTTTTATTTTTTATAATTGTTAAATTGGAAGTATCAACAAAACATGGACTCTCGTAAACATTTTTTGTTATGTTAATGCCAATATGAATAGATTTTATTCCTTTCATATTCTTTTAAATATTTAAAGAAGCTTCTTGCTTTAAAAAATTAAATATTTATTGTTAATTAAGAAATTATCAAGTACACAAATACGGCACACGCCAATCAAAATGGGGTGGGGATACCGTTAAATTGTGTATGCATGTCAGACTTCCTCAAATACCTTTTAGTTTTACCAACCTATGTTTTCTGTAAAATATCACATACTGGAAAACCTAGGCCTGAACAGTTTTAAGATTTAACATTTTCTTAGCATTCTTTAAAGTCTGCCTACGATGTTTTATTATTTTTTTTTTCAAAGAAAAATCACACACAGTTGGAGATCGTTTAAAACTTGACCAGGTGTTATTTTCCCTGTCTATTTTTCCTTAGTTAAAATCTCTCTAATTTGCTCAAGCCATTAACATGATTAATACTATCTAGACGTGTTGATGCTATTTTTTCTTCTCTACCTTTTTTACACTGACATTTTATCTTTTCATTACATATTTAAACTGCTTTTATTGCCGATTTTTCGCCATTCTTCACATGGCTCTTTTGCTATAAATAGCGACACGCGACTTTTAATACAGACGAGAGATAACTCTTAAACTTTGACCAAAATTCTTGCTGAATAAAAATACATGGAAAATACTTTTAACACCCAAAAATCGAAATAAAAAACACCGGGATGGGACATTTTGAGAGGGGCGGGCGGGGATGAGAATCTAAAGATTAATTTTATCTGGCCTAATATGGTGTTGATTTACAATGTCTGGATCACAATTTTTCATTTTCAGTCATGTACATACATCCTATAAAAAAACTCGAAGATTTTTTTTTATTTTAGTTTATTGTTACATGTTGTTGGAAATATTAATCTTTTATATGTATGCTATTTTGTCTGAATCAAGAACAATTTTTTGAATTTATGGGGTTTTTTTGTTGTTGCTTAAAATATACTTTTTTGCATTCTCTCTCTCATATTGTTTGAAAGTTTTATTAAATTATTATTAATCAAATAGATATATTCACAATATACTGTACATGTAATATCTATAAAAAGAGGTTTTCAGTCGATTATGTTGAATGTATATAAATAACCTTGGTTTACATCAGATGGTGCACTTTTAGTTATCATTGACAAGATTAATTTAGGACCCGAAAATACTCTTTGAGTTACCAATTTACGTAAACTGTTTTTACCAGGATTGGAAGTAAAAACAGTGCATAATTTATACGAATAATGCTGCCGAAATATTACCAGATCGAATTTTTTTTATTCTTCACGTCTCCGCAGTATTTGGCAGTTTGTGTTAGATAGGTCATTTGCAAACCAGAAATCAACCAGCATCACTCATACTTTCAATAAAACAGCTATGTTTTATGCAAAGTTGATTTTGAAAAAGTGGTCAAACAATACCGATTGCTTTTAAAATTTTTTTTATTTATTTGCACTGTTTTGCAGTTGTCGCTTTTGTCCATAACTGATTAGCAGGACCAGAATTCACCGTGTGATGAATAACCAAGACAATATACATCGACCATTTTATCATTGTTTGAAAGGCTGATCGGAGGAAATTCCAAGAGGACTTCCAAATACAAGAGGAAAGTTTGCATTGCAATTTAGATCTGTCCCTCCAAGAAGCACAAGATCTCTTCTTGTACAGCGGAGGAATTTGCCCACCACCACCACTACCCTTCAATGATGTCCTTTTATACGATTTTTGACCTCGCCTCAGATAAAGGTTTTAAAATTTGCAGATACTTGATATGAACGTTTTTAGAATATGTTTGGGGATGAAATATGATGAATATACTTAACCATGACATATATACCCATAATGTAAATTTAAAAAACTCAAATTTTAGCAACAAAGTTTTCTCTCTGTCTCTCTTTGGATTCATTCTAAATACCCCATGTATAGCAATTGATTATCTTCCCTACATTTTGTTAAATGTTAAAATGTACCAGTATTTGTGCCTTGGCTAATAGAGAAGGACCATAGGCATTTACGCGTGTCGTTCAATCCAGTTCATTACTCTGAAGAAGTATTTTTAAAAGCAAAATAAAGAATACCGGGGTATCATTGGATATAAATTTGTAAATAAAAGACATCATAGACAGAGTACTCGTAAAATTTACTTTCCATGGCACTGGTCAATTGTAAAATTGTTTATTTTTGCAAACTCCTCCCTTAAAAAAAATTACTTAAAAGTGATAAAAAAAAAATAAACGTGTCTTTTTTCACAAATTTGAATTGTTTGTATTTATTAGCTCGATCACAATTCGTTATTTTCACTGTTTTTCATTCATTATATGTTAAAACCATGGGGAATGAAAATCCCTTCGCTGTAAGCGTGAATTCATTACAAGCAGATTCGCTTTAAATAAATTATAATAATGTCAATCTAACCTAAATCACATATAGCAATAATTATAAGCAATCCACGAATCCTTTTTTTCTATAGTACATACTGTGCCCCAAGTTTAATTCCGAAATGGATAGGTGACAACTGCATTGCCATTCAATTTGTTATTTCTGTAAAAATCCCTTACACACAATGGATTATCTGGAGTTGCAATTTGATAGGACACGGGGACCCTACTGTATATCGCTGCTGCAGGATATTGTTATTTTAAAAAATAGAATTTTTCCAGTTTAATTTGTTTATGACGATAAAAAATATTTAAATCTAAATTTTAGAAGAGGACCATATTCCTAACTCTACCCCATACAGAACTGAAGGATTTCAATCTCTAAGCTAACACTTTACAGAGAACTGGTAGTTGTTTCTCTAAAGACAGGGAAGAGGATCTTACAACTTGTAAGTTGTTTTAATTAACATCTTCTTTTAAAAATTAATTTTATTTATATTCTGTCACCAAAAAATAAGTGATTATCAAAGTATATCAGGTATGTATACTAAGAAATGTAAATCCTATTTCTTATGAATATGCTTTTTCAATTGTGATCAAGTAGTTTTGTTTTCTTAAAAAATAATTTGATAAAAATAAGTTTTCAGTCATTAGTATCCCCCTAAAAAATTTAGAACTTTTCAATTTAAATTCGTTGAGACTGAGAAATTGTGTAATTTTTAGAAATATTAGTATATTTCCTTAAAGAAATTCATAGGTTTGCAAACTCGGTTTCATTCTTCTTATTACATATGCAGATTATTATTTTATTTATTGTTATTTGCCTTTTGTCTGCAAATTTTGAAAATTAATCCTTATTCATGTAATGTAAAAAAAAGTTGTTTGATTTTAAATATTTTTGTGAAAATTACAGAATCAAGAAGATCAATGACGAAAGTTATTTTTTCTTTTTACTGTAATTAAAATTAGAAGCTCTCGTATATAAATGATACTAATGCATTTGGAGAAATACGTGAAGATTTTATTTCCCTCTCGATAGCACCCTCGACAGATTACTACGTTTATTTACATATTGGATAAAACTTATTTGAAAAAAAATATATATATACTAAGAGATAAAGATTTAACATAATAAAAAAGGCTCGGAATGAAAAACGACAACAAAGACATAACAAACAAGCTTTTTACATTATATTCCCACGTAATCTTTCTGTAACCATTCATAAAAAAGTTCATACTATATATTAACTCGAATCTTTTATTCCAGTATACATCGTCTGGGTAAATATAATTCATAGGCTGGCATGTTCATTTTCTGTTGAAGATTTTAATCTCGCTTTACATGTATTTATTTATTTATATTCTTATTCAGTACACGAGGGCATGAAATGAGATTGTAGGGAATATGTGAGCGAGAAAGTGTGGAGATTGAGGGGTAAGAAGTCTTGGAAGAAAGAGAGTGGGATAGTAAGGGGTGAGAAGTCATGGGAAAAAAGAGTGGGAGAATAAGGGATGAGAAGTCGTGGGAGAAAGAGAGTGGGAGAGTGAGGGATGAGAAGTCGTGGGAGAAAAGAGAGTGTGGAAAGTGAGGGGTGAAAAGTCGTTGGAGAAAGAGAGTGGGAGAGTGAGGGATGAGAAGTCGTGGGAGAAAAGAGAGTATGGAGAGTGAGGGGTGAGAAGTCATGGGAGAAAGAGAGTGAGGGATGAGGAGTCCAGGGAGAAAAGAGAGTGGGGGAGTGAGGGGTGAGAAGTCGTGGGAGAGAGAGAGTGGGAGAGTGAGGGGTGAGAAGTCGTATACGAGAATGAGAATGCATGAGGAAGAAAAAGGGAGGGGGATAGAGAAAGAGAGAGAGAGTCGAGGGAGAAAAGGAGAGAGGAGAGGGAGGGGAGAAAGAGAGAAGGAGAGGGAGAAAGAGAATAGGGAGGGGAGAAAGAGTAAGATGGATAGTTTGAATGGAGGGAGAAAGAGAATGAGGAGTGAGAGAGTAGGGAACAGAAAGGTTTGAAGTATTAGGGATAGTGCAGGAGGGGGGAATGGGAAGAATGAAAGAGTAGGAAAGAAAGTGGGGAAGACTGGAGAGAGAATTGGTGAGAGTAGGGAGAGTGATGGGGAGTGGTGGTGGAGAGATGGGATGTGAGAGAGTCGGCGTGTGGGGTCGAGAAAAAGCAACGAAATCGACAAATACAAAAACGGACGGGGCTTGGTTGGTTGAAAGCTTTAACAAAGAGAAACCAAGATGGAAATTAAGCTACTTTCTGAATGACTCAAAGTTTCATTTTTTTACTCAATCTACTTTGCTTTATTTATTTCTTTCTTTTTAAAGGAGCTGGTTTGCATTGTGTGTGACATGGGATGCCCAAAGAGAGTCATTGTTGGTCTTTTAACTTTTCTTGGATTCCTCATTTTCTTTGGCTTCAGGACAGTGTTTACCATGGTTATGGTCTATGTTATCAAGGAAAATGACAACACCGGAGTGTCCTTGTTTGACAAGGTGAGAATAATAGCAAATATTTTCTTGATGTACTATAAAATATCACTGTTCATGGGTGATCAATGGTCGCGGATTTCATAAGTTGCCTTAACCCTCAAATTCATATACCCATGAACGTTAACATTAATCTTTTATATGCATATTTTACAAGCTATCATCGAAGTAATTTCCTCGTGAACGTTCCCCGCTAACATTAGGGGAGTTTCAGGGATAAACCCATTTTGGTCCATATTTTTTGGTGCTGTTAACCACGGATATTTTATAATTTTCCCAATCTCCTCAATATAGGGGATTTTTAACGTTACTCTCTTCAGTTAAGACATTTATCAAACCTGATAAACCCATACCAGAACTAAGTCGGAATCTTTTAGATTCCACCAGAAGTTTCAAAGAAGTACAAAGCCATCCTTGTAGATATAATGAAAGTAGATGTTTAAACGTAGTCGTATACTTTTGAAGAATGGATACTTTTAATTTATAGAGAATAGAAAAAAGAATTTCCATCATTTTTTTTGTTTCCTTATCTATCACTTTTTTTTAAATTCAAGTGCACCTTGAATGGTACCTCTAATGATCTACAATTAAACTGGAGTGTATCGCTGTCCCAGTACCTCAGCACGGCCTACTTTCTGGGATACTTAATAACGCAACTACCAGGAGGATATTTAGCTGTCCGGTTTTCCCCAACTAAGTAATGTGATTTTTATACAATTAAAAAATAAATTTCAAATTAACAAATTTTATTAGAGGACAGTATTTCCTCCAAATAAAATATGGTCTGACTTTTTAAAAATCTAAAAATCCTAATATTTTTTTCTAGAGTGTTTGGAGGAGCCATTCTTATAAGTTCATCCTGTTTCTTGATAATGGCATTTTTCTTGAAGTACAGTCCAATCGTTGCTTATGTTGCTAGAATTATCCAAGGACTTGCAGAGGTATATGTAACAGATGTTTTATATTTTTTGATTCACAACGGAAATTTTCATTGTACTTTCTTGGATATACGAGCATAACTCATTTCAAAGGGCACGTGTCAACCCGCCATGGGTGCTGTAATGTCATCCTGGGCACCGAAATCGGAACGAGCGAGAATGGTGGGACTGTCGTATTCAGGTATTCTTTTAATTCACGTAGGGAAAAGTCTCTTCAAAGTTTCATTTCAAAAACATTTGATGTATACTGGTATATATGAAAATTTTTATGTGATGATATACAGAGCTACCCTCTAAAGTTTAATTAACACTTTAAAACATTTAATTTAAACACACTTTATCGAAAGCAAACGTGAAGAATTCGGAAATATAGGTTTTGATTTGTTTCTAAAATTTTACAAATAAATCTATCAAAACATTTTAGATACTAAAAGAATTGCACTATTTTACATCATTTTATTTCTAGAATTGTAAGAAAAGAATGGCTTATGATAACCAGTATACATGTATATAATTGAAGGTATTTACCTGAGCGCATCACTGGGATCTGCTATAGCGGGAAGTACCACATGTTACGTCAGCTGGAACGCTGCACTCTTCATCTATGGTATAAATCTGAATCTGATGGTGGATTTGCAGACAATTTCATTGATATTTCAAACAAAATAAGAGTTCATAATTTCAAAAAATAAAATACCAAATGATAGACATCTTTCAAAAAAAAAATACAGACATGCAAAATACAACAGGCATAAAATATTTGAAAAAAAGTATAAATACATGTATGTCCTGTGAATGATAAAACGTCTGAATAATAGATTTTAATATTCAGTCATTAACTAAAACATTAAAGTACTTTTTATTATGCAGGAGGTATGGGCATTCTTTGGTCGTTTGTTTGGTTTTGCATGGTATATGACAGTCCACTGATGCATCCATCATTGAGTGAAAAGGAGAGGGACATATTTGAGAAAGAAGGTTCCAACATCTTAAAGTCTTCCTCAGATCTTGTAAGAATTCATATTATGATGAACATTGATTTTAACAAAAAATGCGAAATAAAATCTGTTTTTAAAAACCAATGTACTTTATATTTATAAAGGCTAAAAGTGTTCCTTGGCGGCGGTTATTGACGTCACTTCCTGTCTGGGCATTGTACCTGGCCAATTTCACCAGATCCTGGGTTTTCGCTATGATCATTTTTGAAATTCCTCAATATTTTACGGATGCATTTGCTCTTAATGTGTCAACGGTAAAATTAAAATTACATAGTAGTACTGAAAGCCTTAATAATGCACATCTGTAAGGTAAATGGTTCATAAACAAAATTAAAGGTACCTTTGTGTTAAAAAAAATATGCATTTTTTTCTTCTCCCAGATTGGATTCTTGACTTGTTTCCCGCCAATTCTAATGACTGTGTCTGTAGTATTTGGAGGAATCTTCGTAGACAAACTAGTGAAAACTGAAAAAGTTTCAGTAACTGCTGGGCGTAAATTATCTCTTTGTATAGGTATTTGATTTAATTATCTGAGGTGTCTAAAACTTGATTCTTTTCATCCACACAACAAATAAATAATATATTGATTATATTTCTATATATTTTCAAGGTTTTGGATCAGAGTCCTTGTGCATTTTAGCTCTTGGTTTTGCTAGAGATTACAGCACAGCCGCTGTTCTTATAGTAGTTGCAGAGGGACTGGCAGGACTGTCTATTGCAAGTATGTTCATTTATTAACTCATTTTACATTTAACCCATTCAAACATTTTACTATTTAGTAATATTCTTATTATAGGTTTTAAAGTCAATCCCGTTGACTTAGCCCCTCAATATGCCAGTGTTTTGACGGGAATAGTGAGGTCTGGGGTTCTAGGGGCTGCCATCGGTACTGCAATTGCTGGGGCTCTCAGAGAGAAGGTGAATTATTACTTTTTGAACTTTATTTTTCAAGAGAAAATTTATTAACAATGTTTAGTGTAATACTGAAGAGCAGTCTTAGTAAAAAGTCCCTTTCCTTGACAAAAGCATTTCATTGATACCGGGTTAGGCCTGTTACTTTTTCCAATCTTCTTAAGCGAGAATCAAAGAGACCAAGGTGGGTCATTTTTAGATATGAAACACAATCACCTATTCTTCTTTCATATTTTTCTATCTGCAATTTTGTAGCAGTCAAACCCATAGTGGATTTGTTAGTTAATTTAATTTGTACATCTTTGTATTAATTGATAAATGGATTTTTTTGCCCTCTAGAATGCAGAGTCTTGGTACAGAATCTTCTTCATCACCGGATCAGTACATTTATTTGCTGTTATATTCTACTCTGTGTTTGGGTCAGGACAACAGCAAGGGTGGGCTCAGACAGAATATACTATGTTAGATATACCAAAGGGTGATTCAGTGTACGGGTCCACTGTCATATCACTCGAGAAAACCAAAGACAACCTAGCAGAGATCGAGAAATCTAATACTGAGGAAAATCATAATGGCATTATTCCCAACGAAGATATTCCAGACAAGAAATAGGTTGTTATTCAGTGCACTAATAAAATATGAATAAAATACATTTTTTTCTAATTCAATGTTTTAAATGCTTGTGATTATAATTTGTTTTCCTGTGAACTTGTCAAACAAGAACTTTTCATGTGCTTATATTTGCATACACACTGCTTTCTCCCACTATGAACATGCAGTCATCAACTGCGTTCATAGGACTATAGACGCAACTTCTTCTGCTATGAATGCAACTGCTACATCTCACTCGTGTAGTACAAGTTTTACTACACTTATATGAAGTGTTGAGAAGTATATATATGAAATCTTTTGCTAAAGGAATACGAGGGTTGATCCAAAAGTTCGTGGAATTTCTTTCTACAATTTTATCTTGATCTTATGAAAGCAAACAACAGGCATATTTATAATACAGAGTCATGATGCAACAATATTGGAAATTTTCACCACTTTCCAATCACCAATAATGTCACCCGAGCTTTCTGAAAATGGATTGTTGTGAAACACGGGAGAGACTTCGACGTTACGTCAAGTTAAATTTATCGCGTCGTTATAGTAGCATCTCACCTTAATATCAAAATTCGAATATGTAATTCTACAAAATGCTGACCTTTTTAAAAAAAATATTTTTCTTAAGAAAAGCCTGGTTATCCTTTCACACCAACTTGCTCTGTATCTTCATTTTTCACTCAATTTCAAAATACTCCCATCTTTCCACATGATGTTCCAATTTCAGTAGCAATGTCAAGAACAGTACGTCAGTCGACAACGTCCATTAACGCTTTTAATATGAGTAAGTGGTATAAACACTTAAAACAGTGCCTCCGAAAAGCGGTCACACCTTTAATCAACATTCATGGAAGTTCTTTTTTTTAAATTTCATATGCCACTGAAAAACAGTAACTAAATGCGTTTTTCCTAAACCAATGTCAGTAATATACGTGTTTACGATATTGTTATCCCAGGATTTTCACAAAACATATGAATTGACCGAAATTTGACGTTGTCTAACAACTCAAAGATGAACAATGAATCATCAACTAATAAACTTAATATCCAGTAAAATCAGTAAAACTTTTACACAAAGGTTTATAAAAAGTCAAGTAATCGTAATAATATTTTTGTTTTATTTACCACATAGGTCGGTTTTATTCTCACTTCACATATTAAGAATTAAAATGATCAATTAACGCGTTAATGTTTCCCCCGCATTTCCAAACAACTGTTTCTATGGCAACTGCTATGGAGTTACTATAATAAATATTTAAAATGCTCTTTTATTCAAAATATTCAACAAGTGTCTATATTCTCATTTAAAACTTTCAACAAATTTCACTTAAAAATAAATAAAATATGAAGAAATTCCACGTTCTTGTGGAACAACACTCGTAAATATAAGTTTTTAATAATATTCTTTGAAAAAAAGAAATTCAGAATATTTAAAATTGCTGATTTATATCTTTAAAAATTTAATTTTGGTCAATGTATTTAATTGTAAAATAAAACTTTTTAAGAATTGTAGAGAAATGCCATATTTTTATTTTTTCGTATCATATTTTTGCATATTTGTACAAAGAACGGTAACTCTTCACACTTGGGTAATAATATTCAGAAAAAGAAAATTTCTTTAACTAGTATAGCTATTTCAAGAATGATTTCAGCTCTGAAAAATAAATAAAAAAACTAAAAAAATCACAGAAAAGCATTCTGGAGTAATAATCATTATTAAAGCATTATCATTTTTCATCATAGTGTTTTAAATCATTGATTTTTGTCAGAGGGTTTCAATAACGTTGATCGTTGATGTCACAGCTGCATAAAAACAAAAAGTAAGAGAATGTGATGACGGCACGGCTTCTATCCAGATAATTGTATTTGAGAGGCAAATACTTTATAAATTGTTTGTGATTTATTAGAGAAAAGGAGCATTCATTGATCAGGTGTACAGATTTTAAAGCCGTATGTTTTTCCTTTCTGAAGACAAGAAGCTGCGTCCTTATGTAAGTCAGGATTTCCTCTGATATTCATGAAAAAAATCAAATTATGCAAATATAAGTAATAAACAATGATTATTCAGTGAACATGGCATTATGAATAGCAATAGCTCTGCTGGCATATTTTCCATGATGCGCTAGCGCGCATTATGGAATATGCCAGCAGAGCAATTGCTATTCATAACGCCATGTTCACTGAATAACGTTGTTTATTTCTTAAATGCTTCCAAAGTAATTTTTTTTAAAGATAAATATTCATTGCTACAAGTATCTCTTAAATTTATAAAATAAAGTTATTTCAATCTGAAGATGGATACATTACATCAAGAAAGCGCTATTAAAATGGGATATGAAAACTGCCATTTTGTTCTTTTCTTGTTAATTTTTTAAGCCCTTATTTTCATTAAAGAGCCTTAAGTTGACAGCATAAATGTTGTGCCTTGTTATATGTAAAATGTTCAATCTGTATTCAATATTGTCTTTTTAAAAGTTCAGTTTTTTTAATGTTCTGTTCTCATCGTAATCAAATTTACTATTGTGTAGTATTACTGTTGTTCATTTCTTTTGTTCCACTATTTTTCTTTGAATTAATAAAATATTCAATTACTTTCTTATGAATTAGTTACAAAAATTCTAAAGAAGAAAATTAGAACAATATACTGATTGCCTTATCACCCGTGCTCCCTCACCTTATCATTGCATTCTTCCTTCACTGGCCATAGGGTAAATCAAGTGTGCTAGTGGGCAGTGCAATAGTCTTTATTGTCCCCCGCTTTCGCGAAAGCGAGGGGACATTAAATCTCATTCGTCTGTCCGTCTGTCTGTCTGTCTGTCCGTCACAAAAACTTTAACCTTGCCCATAACTTTTGATTTAGTGGAGCTATGATTTTCATATTTCATATGTTTATTCCTTGTGATAAGACCTTTCTTTGGGTACCACCAAATTTGACCTTTTGACCTTGACCTTGAAGTTTGACCAACTTTTACTAAAAAATTTCAAACTTTTACTTTGGCCATAACTTTTGAATGGTAGGTACTAGGACTTTTATATTTCACAAATTTATTTTTTGGGACAAGACCTTTCATTGGATACCAACAACTTTGACCTTTTGACCTTGACCTTGGAAATTTACGTACTTATGAAAAAACTATAACCGTGACCATAATTTTTGAACGGTAAGGGCTGTGGCTTTTATACTTCACATATGTTATTCCTGTAAGAAGACCTTTCATTGGATACCAAGAACTTTAACCTTTTGACCTTGACCTTGGAGTTTTAACTACTTTTTAAAAATTATAACCTTGGTCACAACTTTTGAACGGTAGATACAAGGACTTTTATATTTCACATATGTATTCTTTGTGGCAAGACCTAACTTTGACCTTTTGACCTTGACCTTGGAGATTTACGTACTTCTGAAAAAACTTTAACCTTGACCATAACTTTTAAACGGTAAGGGCTAGGGCTTTCGTACTTCACGTATGTAATTTTTGTGAGAAGACCTTTCATTGAATACCAAGAACTTTGACCCTTTGACCTTGACCTTGGAGTTTTAACTACTTTTTAAAAACTTTAACCTTGGTCACAACTTTTAAACAGTAGAAACTAGGACTTTCATATTTTAAATATATGTATTCTTTGTGGCAAGACCTTTCATGGGATACCAATAACTTTGACCTTTTGACCTTGACCCTAAAAAATAATATCTCGCCCACAAAGACACCGAAAGCGGGGGACCACAATTCTTTGAATTTGCTTGTTTACTTCCTTTTTACTATGTTTCATGAATTCTCAATATATGGAACAAACATACAAGTATGAACATTGGCAAAGTGGTGTGGTCGTAGTCATAAATGGAAACAATATTTTCATTATTTTGTTAACAATATACTAGTAGATATGCAATAAACATTGTTACATGAATGACAATTTCAAACCTTCAGAGAAGCCTTACAGGTGTGCAGCTTCACTCCCTTTCAACTGCAAGTTTCTTATTGTACTCGTACAAACAATATAACCATCGGAAATTGTGCAGTGATCTGACGTCAGCAGAAAAATCTTGGATACAAATAAAAGGACCCTTGTTATAAAGTTGACTGTAAATATTGAAGATAATTTTAGATTAATTTTTTTTCTTTGTTTATATAGAATACAAGATATTGAGTTGTTTCTTGGTAACTTTTCTGAATAACTTACGGAAATGGTCGGTTTTTCATTTTTTTTTAATATATAGCTTCATAATGACCAATGTCCTAATTCAACCATACTTTCTAAGTTTCTGGAACTTGTGTCTAATCCCTTTGATATATTGTCAATAAAATATGTTTAAAATAAAAAAAATAACATTTCTATATCTAAAAAGATCGAAACGTGCAATCTATTATGATAAAAAACCCGCGGATGCGAACATTTTACGTTAGTGAATGGATTTGTGTTTTCTATTAATAAAATATTATAAATAATGGCCAAAAGATAAACTAATGACAAAGAGTTTATAACATTTTTCATAACAGATTAGGAATGTATAGTGATAAAAAAATTAATGAGGTGGGAAATATTCATAGTCTTACTCCCATTCATGATAAAAAAAAAACACGACTTAAGGGGTGAATTTGACATTAATTAACGCTGTTGGCAAAGTGGAGTTATGAAGTGGTGCTTAGGATGCAAAACTACACGTGATTCAATTTCAAGTGTTTCAAGTAAGGATATTCAATTTAATAATCAGGAATATGTTTTCACCTTGATCAGTCTAGTTAAAATAATTTTCGCATTCACTACCCCTTCTTTGTGATAAAGGGATTGGGACACTTTTAATTTTAATTTGATTTTCAGTTACTTGTCCTTGGGATTCTATATATACAGACTAAAAACCTAGATTTTTTTCACTCATCTCTTAATCATAAGCATCTTTTAAAATTGTTTGTCGAAGTTCAGATTTCGTAATAAAGTACTGTACAGACTCGGAACCTAAATTCTGTCACTCATCTCTGAATCATAAGCATCTTTCGATATTAATTGTCGAAGTACTTAACTGTATTAACCGGTCATCGGCACTCACAATTATTAATGTTTCTCGTAAACAAATAAAAGCCGAGGTTTTACCTTTGGCTTATAAAATATTGCATTTATTTATCAGTATATATACAGATCTCAATTAGAGCTTATAAAAAACTTGTGAACATTCATAAAAGAAAATTGAAATTGCAAAAAAATTCCTTGATACGCTTATGAATTTTTTTTTTTATCAAAGTGCAATTTGAGACTAAAAAAAAAAAATTGCAAAATTATAGCAAAATTATAGCAAAGAAATCACAAGATTATCGAATATGAGTCAAACGTTTTTGAAATTTGTGCATAAATATCAAATTTTTGAATATGAATATCATCTTTTCGAAAACAAATCTCAAAATTTTGTTCATGAATTACAAAATCACAAATATGGATAACAATTATTATATATAAATAAATCAGATTGTTTCAGAAATAAAAAGAAAACAAAATTTTAAAAACGAATAAACGTATGTATAGCAAATCTGAAATATATGTATTACTCAGCTTTTGTGTAATTTTGCAAATTTTACACGCCATAGTAAGTCAGACAGAAAACAAGTTTAAAAGAGCCCAACCGTTTAATTGGATACTTTGAAGTGCAAAAAGTAACATGGGAGTGGGTTAAGTAACGGTTGGCAACATTACTTGTACAACTGTGTAACACATATGACGAAGTTCTACATTTTCACTTCAAGCCATACATATTTTAATCACAAATACTCTCCTCAGAACAAAGAACTGATTCATATACCGTACACGTTCCGCTTTTGTTCGTTTAATTGAACTTCTGGACAACAGGGTGTGCTCTGCAGCGGGCGGAAGGGCCCCACTTCCTCAGAGAGTCAATGATAAAGTGCTGAAAATAATAAATAATATATATAATATATAATGTACTAAATGTTAGATCTATATGTAGACATCAGAATGAACTAAAAATTATTTATAGTCATAATTTTCAAATTTCCTTCAAAATCAACGAGAGAATTTTTGTAATACATATATTAAAACTGAAAGTACATCAAATACCTTAAAACATATTCTATTAAGTTTGAGCGCCGTATCGGGTTGTGCATAAAAAATATATATGCATTGAAACTTAAATTAAAATTGAATTTGAAGTACGCAAATGTAAATCACAATTTGAAAAACATACTTTTTGGTATGTTTTAATGACTTCCAACTGAATACTAGTAATATGAAATTTTACGTAATTATTATATCTACACAAGGTTTTGTAGATGAAATATAAGGAGACAACATGTAACGAACAGTATATAATAATTACGTAAAATAAAAAAAAGTTTTATGTTCCTATCCCCTGTGGTTTCAATTGTCATTTTCTAGAACATGGACACAGATGTATTAAATGCGTGCGACATTTGACCCGAATTGATCGCCGTTTGACACTGCAAGCGGCGAGCAAACAGGAATTACATAACTTACTCAATATCAATAAGCTGTTGTATGTTGAGGCTATGTAGAAAGAGAATTCAGTGCATTGATAAACATAATTTAAACTTGCTTTTATGTACTTTTATTTTTCATTTATTGTTATGAGATTATTTTAAAAAATTGAACGGTTGAACTTAAAGTACGATTGTTTAGTCCAGGAATGTTTTTATTTTACTGTTTATCTGCAGATGTGTAAAATTCTACGTCATAATTTGACACACTTTGTGAAAATCATGTGAAAATTTTTATGTGGGAATAGTAATTTTCTAAACAAATAATTAATTTCCTTAAATTTAGGTATTAAGTTGCTTTTTCCAAATCTTTTTAATTTCAAAAACAAAATAATTATTTCTAAATGTATTCATTATTTTCTGTTTTTAAAATGTACAAAATACAGGTAAATCTAAACATCTATTGTTATTTGCAAGTGAATAACATTGAGAAGTTAAAAATGTTAACTAAGACAATAATTTGACACAGAGTAATTTAGTAATCTATATTATTTCCCTCCTAACACCCAAATTAAGAAAACAGAAATTATTTCTAAAGGTGAATTCATTTTTTTTTTCATATTTAGCATCATGTAACATTTCAAATGTTAACTAAGAATAAAAAAAAAAGTAATTCGGTAAATATTTGGATATTGTATCTGACTTTAGACGATAAGAACAAACTATTAACAACTAATTTGATTGATAAACGCACAGGCATTTTTCTTTTGATAAAATAATAAATCCCCCTTATTATTAGGTAGGGGGTATATTTTTTTTATTAAAAGAAAAATAAGTAACGTCAGGTGCCTTTGGACAAGCAATATGAGGCTTTTCCATTGTCAACTTTTTATTTTAAAATATTTTTCCACTGCCATCTGAATATATAATGTTAACATCTCCCAACTAACTCGAGGATAAAGAACATATCCTGAGTTCGATTATTAAACCAAGACAGGCTACTGATAGACAAGTTAAAGTAAAAGGAATTACAAAAACCTCGATTAAAGTCAGTATTTCATAAACTCTACTGTCGCTATAATAATCTTGTCCGCAAATACCTATAGCATTTGTTGGTATTTTGACTGTCGAGTTCCATGCAAGTTGTTAGACCTTCGTTTTTATACTAAAATTCTGTCTACCTGATTTATACACAGGGCTCACACGGGAGGGAACCGGTTTAGAGGGGTATACTTACTTCTTCATTCACCTGATCCTACCTAGCTCTTGAATGGGGGTCCGCGTTTTATAGCATCATAATAATTGCTCTATTGTCCATTGCTCTATTTATTTAGACATCTGTTTCAGCGGTGAGTGTAAAGCTACATGCACACGGCACGGACACTTTCATTCGAATTCATTTAATAACAATACTTATACTAATGACAAACAGCCAGGGATTACGTTGATATCGAGCTACGTTTTAGAAGTATGTATATTCTTTGTTAATAATGTTAATTATAAATTAAGGCAACAGTTATTTTTGTATTTCATACTGAATTTTTGTTATACTCAATGAAAATAAAGAAATGTACATGTTATCAGATAAATTTACTTACGCGAAGTTTTATTTGGAATCTGTCGATGGCAGTCTCAAAGCTATACATGTAAGTGGTTTCTGCCCTAAATAACTTCAGCATTAGACCTTATATAGAAAAAAGACACTTTAAACTGTATAATTGCTCTCGATCAAACGTAGTCTCACTTGCAATACAATGTGCACTAAGATAATGATGATCTCAATCAATGAAGACATTGATTTAAGATATGTCTTAATTAGGCTAACAACGAGAGAAACTAGTATTTAATGTGTACTATAAAAGAATTATATATTTTGTGGCCTTTATCTACAATGTGAAATGCTTATAATTCGTACAAACTAAGTATATGTAACGTCCTATCGAATTTTTTCACTCACATTTAAGGGACTCCGACCCTCAGCCAGGAAGGACAACTCTTTAATTTATAATTTAATTCAAAAAGTCTTTAAATTTGCTTGAAAATTAAATTTTTTCATGCAACAATTTTCATTATATGCCTCTCAATGTGCTTCAAGTTCTTTGCAAAGCTCCATAAATCACTTCTAATTTCATATCATGTTAATAACCATTGGTATCTAAAAATGCTTTTTCGGGATAAAAATTTCTACTTTTAATTAGACCTTTCTGAGAAGTTCAAAGAACCTTGAAGCACATTGAGAGGCATATAATGAAAATTGTTGCATGAAAAGATTTAATTTTCAAGCTTCATTTAAAGACTTTTTGAATTAAATTATAAATTAAGGAGTTGTCCTTCCTGGCTGAGGGTTGGAGTCCCTTAAATGCTAACAATTGCCGATGGAGGACTGAAAATTAAAGGGCCTGGTGAGGACATTACATCAGAGTTGGAAAAGCTGAGTAGCAATTTGGAAGGCTCAGAAAAGACTTACCGGTACACAATGTACATGTACTCGGCACCTAAGCCTTTGAGCACTGAGGGATCTTTTTTTTTGTGCTAACACCCACTGCGCGACTGAGACCTCGATTTATACGGTCTCATCCGAAGGACAGCAGTCTACACGTTCTGCAATGGGATTTGAACCCGAGGGATCAACTCCTGAAATACTCTGCAAATTGCTCATTCAAGAGCAAAAGCTTCCAATCTTCACGCTTACAAACCAAATAAAATACCACTGTTTACTTCATTTTCCAATCACTCATTATAATCTGATAAATGTCTTATAATGTATATACCATGTCTTACTTGGAGCAGATTTTCCAGACTTGAAATCGATTCTTTCTTCGAAGCTTAGGGTGATCTTCCATAATGGGATGTCCCAAAAGGGCCATTGTCGTACTGTTGTCCTTTCTGGGTTTCCTGATTCTCTTTGGCTTCAGAACGGTGATCACCATAGTAATGGTCTACGTCATCAAAGACAATGACAATGATAGGGTTGGTCTGTTTAAGGAGGTGAGTTTTTAAAATAAGATTTCCAATTTACCTTCTTAACGGTGAGAGAGTGTTTTCTTCTAGCTCATGTATCTTTTCTTGTTGGACTATGATGTCTCGCGTGAATCATCATGCTGAAAGGACAAAATACATACTTACAGGTGTTTCTCTTTCTTTTTTTTTTATTTTAAAGGTCATTTCAAAACTTATAATATATTTTAGTGCACCATAAATGGTACAGCGTATGACCTTCAGTTAGACTGGAGTGTGGCCACTTCTCAGTACTTTAACACGGCCTATTTTGTGGGTTACGTTATCACTCAACTGCCAGGGGGATTTCTGGCTGTCCGATTCTCCCCAACAAAGTAAGTCGGCTTCAGTACTATTTTTCATCCAAGATTTTGTATGTATAAATGTCTTACTCATAAACATGAATATAGGGTTAATTTTTCAAAAAACAATTTGGAACTTGAAATAGATCCAAAGTATCACTATGTTACAGAAATATTATGATGCTATTGCCTTCATTAATTGATTCATTCAGTCAAAGAAAGACTAAGTGAACAATATATCATGGTTCCAGTTGAAAAGGAATTGTTGATTGTTCCTTATCTTCACCTTTTTTATCTTCAAAATCATGTTTTACCATTATATCAACTGCATTTTAAACTTTAAAAATACTGTTCGTTATCTCCATATGTTTCACCCTAAATAAAGGACAGTAGCAATTTGGACGGTAACTGCAATGATGACAGAAATGTTAAACTATTTTACGCAAGGAAAATGACATCCCTGGTGTCATTTCATTTGGGAGTCACATTAAAAGGCTATAATATCGCTTTACATTATGCTTATATTATACAACAATAAATCTCGAAACATTACAAATTGACTATCGGATCTTTTATTAATGACTAAAATTATAGTTATGTAAGTAGCTGCCATGGCTTTTTCATGTTACCCGATTCCAACCTAGATGTAGAAACCCTAATACATGTACATATGGTTAAATGTTTTCAACTGGAAAATACCAGAGATAAAATTCATAAAAAGACTTGCTTTGAAATGATATTTTATATATTTCTGTTTTCAGGTTGTTCGGAGGAGCAATAATGATCAGTGGATCGTGTTTTGTGGTGCTAGCATTTATCATGAAGTATAGTCCAATTATAGTTTTTGTGATCAGATTTATACAAGGACTTGCAGAGGTATTTTTTGTTTAATATATACTTGTATGCAGGGTTATTTTTCGCCTTGTTTCATTTTCGCCCTTTCACCCTAGCAAACATTAAAGCCCCATTTTAAATTCGCCCTGTTACAGTTCTGTTTAAGAAATAATACCTACTTTGTTCTTTATTTGCGCTTTTTTTTTTTAAATTCACCTATGTGTGTGATTAGGTTGAATGGCTATAAGTAAAACGGGAGATAATTTTCCTATTTAAAGTATACTTTAAATATATATTATAAAACAGTGTATACAGATTTAGATGTGTATGCCTATGAGAAAATATACATTGTTTAATACACTTCTGATGTTCACTGCATTGTATATTTCAAGGGTGTAAGTCAGCCCGCTATGAGTTCCGTGGTTTCCGCTTGGGCCCCAAAGTCAGAACGAACTAGGATAGTCGGAATCTCATTCTCAGGTTACTACTCGTGGGGGAAAAAAATATAAAGGGACAAAATAACAATTTCTTTAAAAAAAAATATAAAGATAATAAAAAATATTTCGTGTACAATTACTATTCATTTTAAAATAAAATGAAGTGAAAATAAGGTTTAAGAATTATTTGAAGAATTGATCATTTAATTTCGATTTATTGTTCAGAAAATTCATATTTAGAAAAGATATAATTCTTTTTTTTTTTTTTACAGGAATTTACCTAAGTACCTCACTGGCCTCTGTCATTGCTGGGGCCACCACTTGTTACGTCAGCTGGCATGCAGGGCTCTTCATCTACGGTAAAATTGTTGAAAAATTATGAACATTTGCAACAACTTGTAATGTGATACACACTGAACGTTACATTACTTAATGTTATGCCAAATTGTCACCATTAAATATGTTGCTTTATTTCAGGTTTATTTGTTCATCTGAAAAAAGTGTTGAAGGTACTAAGGGTCATCTTACTGACCAGTGTCATTATGTATATAAATTTTAGTCTATGTTAGTCGACTATATACAAACATGGGACAATACCCATTATTCCTTATATCAGTAACTCCTTATATTTGTATTTGATACTGAATACAGGGTTATTTTCGTCCCGTTTTATTTTCGCCCTTTCACACTTGCAGACTATTTTGCCCCGTTTTAAATTCGCCCTGTCAAAGTTTTATTTTTAAAAGTACTTATATTGTATTATATGAATTCGCCCCGTTTTTGAGGCTAGGGCGAAAGGGGCGAAAATAAAACGGGGGCGAAAATTTCCCTGTGTACAGTAATTAAAATGTAAAAATATTTAAACCCAAAATGCTACCTAATAGTTATGAAATATCAAGACGTTAATTGTTAATTTCCATAGTCCCAGCCGTGAGAAATTGACAAGCATAATATGTACTTGAATTTCACTCGGCGAAATTAATATTTAATTTGAATTATTAAGAAAAACTTCCTTTAAGAACAAGATAAACCTTCAAAAAGTGTAAAATGCTGTTTATCAATTGCCTCATTCCGACTTGCAGATTCTAGAATGATCAAACAAGATGGAAAGTTCCCTCCAATTTCAATTCTTTTCCAGTATCATGGAATTGAAATCCAATGATTCATTATATTTCTAGGAGGTTCGGGTATTCTTTGGTCTCTTGTTTGGTTTTGTACGGTATACGATAGTCCCATGATGCATCCAACATTAAGCGAAAAAGAGAGGCGTATCTTCACGGAAGAGGGTTCAAATGTGACCATAGCTTCTGCCTATGTGGTAACATTTTTTTCTAGAAACCAAAGGTATTAAATTTTTAGTTTGTTAGACTGCAAGTCGACTTAAAATAAAATCTCTGTTTTCGCTTATTTGCAGGCTAAAAACATACCTTGGAGAAAAATTTTGACGTCAGTACCGGTTTGGGCTTTATTGCTTGCCAATTTTACCCGATCTTGGGTGTTTGCTATGATCATTACCGAGATACCCCAGTATTACGCCGACGCCTATGCCCTAAATGTCGCAACGGTATTTTTGGCATATCAAAAACTTTTAAAATGTTTATAAAATGTTTAAAATCATTAAAAAAAAACATGTAGCATTGCACTTTTCTTGACTATTAAGACAAAGTAATTTTGGAAATATTGATGGAATTAACTCGTTATTTTTCATCTTTCCCAGATCGGATTTTTGACATCATTCCCATCAATTTTGATGACATTTTCTGTGGTTTTGGGAGGAAT